CTTTTGGACACAGACACTGTGTCCAAAAGTCTCAAGGCAGTAAAACTTCCACCCTCTGGTAATAGATCTGTGTGTAAGTTGGGATTGCAGGTGGTTTTAAGTAAGTCCTAGCTTTGCTTAACTCTAGGCTTTCTTGCCTCTCCTCTGCACATGTGAACAGGCTTGCAATCAGCCAGTGCTGTGTGGACAACTTGGCCTTCTCCAGTTTTTCCTACACAGATATTATAGAGAGCTTTTTTTTTTTTTTTTTTTTGAGACAGAGTCTCGCTTTGTTGCCCAGGCTAGAGTGAGTGCCGTGGCGTCAGCCTAGCTCACAGCAACCTCAAACTCCTGGGCTCGAGCGATCCTTCTGTCTCAGCCTCCCGAGTAGCTGGGACTACAGGCATGCGCCACCATGCCCGGCTAATTTTTTTATATATATATCAGTTGGCCAATTAGTTTCTTTCTATTTATAGTAGAGACAGGGTCTCGCTCTTGCTCAGGCTGGTTTTGAACTCCTGACCTTGAGCAATCCGCCTGCCTCGGCCTCCCAGAGAGCTAGGATTACAGGCGTGAGCCACCACGCCCGGCCTATAGAGAGCTTTTGTAGGTCCCTATGACTATCTTATTTTCCAGATCTTCCTGGTAAATTCTGGCTGATCTGCCAATCTGCTGCTTGCCCCGACCACCATTGCAACCTCTGGTTAGCTGAGCTGCTGGTCTTGCCTTGTTTGTTTGTCACCTAGATTGCTACTCTAACTCACAGTGGATGTGGGGATATCCTGAATGTGGGGTTTTATGCTCTGGTCCGAATCAAGTCAGCCCCCTCTGGCAGTGAGCTCTCCTTTTCAGGCATTTTCCCACCTTGGTAGAAAGGACTCTCACTGCTTATACGTGAAGTTCATTGGGTTTTTTGTTTTGTTTTGTTTTTAATAAATAACCACTTTTCAGTGTAGTATATGGCTTTGATTGATTTTCAGAGCCCTGATTTTGTTGTTTCTGACAATGTGTCCCATTTTACCATTGCATTTTGGGGAGAGGAACTCCCCAAATCCTGCCTCTGTCGCAGTCATTTTTACTAGCTTCTCCATTGATTCTGATGTGAAACCAGGGTTGAGAATCACTGAGCTAGTATATGATTATAGAAGAATAAATCTTGATATCACTTCATTCATTAAACATTGATCAAGCAGTTTCAGGCACTGGACGCAATGCTGAGGATACAAAGATAACTGAGATCATCTCTCTCCTTGAGTAGTCACAGGCAGTGGGAAAGACAGAGAAACCAATTATGCATGGTAACTTTGAGCATGGAGAAATGGGTGATATTGGCTTTGGGAGCACAGTCAACAAAGGCAATGCCCATAGTGCATCATTTCTCTGAAACGTGCTAATAGGCTCTGAGGCTTCTCAGAAAATAATATAACCATTAAGTGGATCTAATCTTAAATATGAATAAATTTATTAATCTGAGGGAACCTGGAACAGTTTCCTAAAATTATATGGTGATTATAAACATAACTTTGAGGGATAGCATTTTATTTTATGTACTTTAATGAGTTTTTTATGCTTAATTTACAGCTGGACTGTGATGATTTCATAACCTCAATTTATATGAATAAATATTAGAGTCTTTATGGGCAGTGTGACATGATATTATGGTCTCCAAAGTGGGGAGTCCACAAAGGCAAGCCATAGGAGTGTAGGAAGAAATATTAATTCTTTTTAGTATTCTATTGAAAGTTTCATAGTGAGAATGTTTATACAGCAATATATGAATAGAACTTATAAATAAACAAATACATGTAGGTGGCATGACCCCAATATTTTTAAATTAAGAGTACTCAATCACAAAAGTTGGAAAACACTAGGATAGTGAAAAGAACATGAACCAGAAAATCAAGGAAAGATGGGTGCTAGTCCTAGTTTAGCTACCAAATCACCATGGGTGAGTTACAAAGACTCCTTAGCTTTGGTCTCCACATCAGTAAAATCAGGGGCCTGGTATAAATATCTCTGAGATCTCTTCTAGCCCTGGAATTCTATAAATGGTTTGTTCTTGCTTTTCCTGTTCAGCATTATTGTGAAGTTGTGGATGCATGCATACACACACAGTCAACTCTTACCTATTGCTTAATTTGATTGCCTTCATAAATCAAAATTCTGAAAGTTTCAAGATTTAAGCTAAGTTCATAAAGAACAGCATGTGTACTTTTAATAGGTAAAAAACCTACACCACAGATCCATATATATCAAGTTTGGTATCTGCTCAGAAATTGAGTTGTTAGAAGATTATTTTCAAAATTGAGATACAACTAAAAGCCCAAGAGGTTAGTAAGCCCTTACTTAGCTATTTGATTTAGATTAAAGGAAATTTAAAATCTACATATTTTATTTAACTCCTCTAAAAACATTATTCAACTTTCAAATTTGATAGAGTAAGATGTTGGCCTTCAGTCTTCATGGATCATGACAAATAGAATATTGATGAGTTTTCTTCAAATAATTACACTGATTATTATATAATCACTTCCTTAAAACTTTGTGTTTCTCTGATTTAGTTTTGTTTGCTAGCTTCAGTAAATGAAAGCATTATCAAATCATCTGCACAGTATTTCAACATCTAATCCTTCATACACTCTTTTTTATTAGAAATCAAAGCTTGAGGAAACTCTAGAGACTATAACAAAGGTGGAGATCTTGTATTTTCCAAATAATACTGTATCATACATAACATCATAATGCTTTTTATGAAATCTTTTTTCCAGATGAAATATGAAATGAAAGCTAATGAAAGTGCCATGATTCTTTAGCACAAAGTTAAACTATTAACACATTAGCTGCCATGTGAGTTGTATTTAACTTATGCTAGTTTTGAGCCTGGGGCCTTGTGAAGCATATGTAACCTATGTGTCTCTTTACCTTGGGAGCTGTGAGAACTATTTTTCAAGTTGCATATAATTCACACACAGAAAATAAAAAATAACAAAATTTTCTTTAAGTTAGAAAAGATTGTTTTGTTTTCGAAGTTTTTATTTTATTTTCATAATAAAACACCATGGCCCCAAGGCAAAAATTTTTTCTAGTGTGGCAATCAATGTGTTAAAAATCAGCTGCTGTGATTTACCTGTGAAAATGGAATAATCACATTCTGGCCCGTTCTAGGTAGTAAATGCATCATTTTAAAAGTTTGTCTTGATGACGGAAAAAGGAACAACACAATGAAAAGAACGACAAATCATAGTTTTTATTTTGATGTAAATCAATGTTGAAAATATGAGCTCATGAGACTAAGACTGCAGAAACTAGAATGAAAGTAAAGGGAAAAAAGCAAAAACAGAAGAAAAGGAGAGAAATTAGAAAATCCAACTGTTCTAGAAATGGGAAAAGAAATGAACTTTTTAAGCCCCACAGTTAATGTTATTTTTTACAGTAATGGAATAAAGGGGTGAAGGAAAATACCACTTTAAACTTGGACCTGTAGAAGCACAGCCTGTTCTCTGTGACCTGCTGGGGGTATAGAATGCTATCATTTTGCTGCTGCCTGAACAGCCAGCCAGGAACAAATTTCACTCTGGCTTCCAACTGGTAACCAAGCCACAAGCTTGAAGTCAAAGGTCTAACCTTTAGTTTTAATGCTGATCATAGAAAAAGAGCTAGATATCTCCCACTGGGGGGAGGAGGGGGATAATGGGGCAGGAAGAGGTTTGTCAGGTCCATGGGACCTCTCAGAGGGTTAAGGTTGTTGCCTACCCTGCACCCCCACGTTCCCAGCCGCTGCTGGCTCTGCACTTCCTTGACGCTCTTAATGTTCCGTGCCACTTGTTTTCTTTCATTATTATATATCCATTTTGTACTAAGTATAGTTTTGGCCCATCTTGTGCTTTGGATTTTGGCAACCATTTTTCTTTTCCAAATGATTTTCAGAGATTAGGAGTGATCAAGGTTTGCGTGGTTTGAAGATTTTCTGCTTCCGCTGGGCAGCTGGGCTTTTCCTGCACCACACCATTGCCATTCACCTTCTCTTCAAGTATTCTCTAGACCAGCAGATTTTTTTTATATTAACTTTTTCCTTTAGAATAGTTTCACATTTATAGAAAAATTACAAGGATAGTGCAGAAAGTTCCCATACAGGCCCCTATTGTTAAATCTTTCATTACCGTGTACATCAGGGGCTTTTCACCCTGAGCCCAGGGATTGACTTCAGGCAGGCCATAAACTCCTGCAGTTTATGCCAAATTTTATATGTTCATATGAAAATGCATTTGATTTCAATCAATAACTATATAGATTAAGACATAATTTTCATTTTATCAATCCTTTTTCTCTGTAATCTCTGCTGTCATATTTTCCAACTCCATAATAAATTTTTGGTTTCTTAGAACACTACCTCCAAGTGCACATTTGCACCAGTGTGCATAGGCAGACAGAACTTTACCACACCCTTATACATCTCTGAGACATTTGACACCATGTGTTCACATAAAATATATTAACTTTATTGTTTGATGAACCCAGTATCCTTTCAAATGCAGGAATCTGCCTACAGTACTTAAAGATCTCGAAGTGTGAACCTAGGGACCTGCATCAGAATTGCCTAGGCTCTCTGTCCAGAAAAGTGTGCATTTTTAACAATCCCCGGAAAGGATTTGGATGTACAGTGTATCAAAACCATTTATGCAGACTGCCTAAATTTTAAACATTACATTAACAGCAAAAGGTATTTGGAACTATTATGAAAGCATCACCCCTTTCTCTTGAAACTTTAAGGAGAAAAAAGCCATGAAATTACTGCAGCCATAAAATTACTATTATTATTTTTCTTTTGTGTCTAGATAGAGTGCCTTATGTGAGGTCTTTCTAACTCCACTTTACTTCTAAAGGTAAAGATAATTATAACATTAGAGATCTAAGATTCTGTAAAAATTCTTTGAGGTTAAAACTTTCTTTCATCAGTATTCTGAATATTTTAAATGCATTTTTTGTTATTGTCTATAATAATATTAGGGAGTTTATTTCAGACTTACAGATTCCAGTCTGCTGTTAGATGATTATTCGTCCAAGTTGAGCACCAAAGCAAAGAGAGCCAAGCACAGCCTTCTGTCTGGAGAAGAGAAAGAAAATCTACCAAGCGACTACATGGTGCCTGTTTTCTCGGGACGGTTAGTGTACTTTTTCTTTCTGGCTTTATTACAAAGTGGGAAGTAAATGTTGTTAGGTAATAATAGTAATAGCAGCTAACATTTATTCAGCACTTACCATATGCTGGTTGAGAAAGATCTAAGGAAGTTTGGAGCCGTGTGGTGAGAGAGGTGTGTTAATTTTGTAAAAATGGATTTCCTTTTCAGAAATCTTTGCCATCACATAAGATGGCTACATGATGAAAGAGAAAGATTAGATCTTAATGCTTCTTAAGTGGCATTAAGTGGGAGTAGAGCCTTGCATGCTAGTGATTAAACACTAAAAAGAAAAGCTCAAAACTAAAATATTGTGTGAACTGAAAAAAAAAGATGATTTGTTTAGGTTGCTGGAAAACATCTTGGTTGTTAGTGTGGTTTTAATTTTTATTCATTAGGGAAAAAATCTAATCATAATTTGAATGCCTAGCTTATATTTGTTCAACGGAAAATAGATTGCATTTGCTTTGAGGCAAACTTCAAACAAAACAATCACTAAGTCACAAGTCTATGTAATGCCAATTTCCTATCTTTAAACATTTTTTTGAGCGATAATAATGTTCAAAAGAATCTTGAAAGGAAATTTTGTCCGAGACACCAAGATTAAAGTTTAATAGGAACTTTCTGGTTCATCCCCTGTTTATTTTCCTTTGAATGGAAAGTTATTCTCATAGCTAAGGTGACACTCAAAATGAGGCCATCCTCTCAGGACAAATGCCATGGAAAAGTAGATCCTTACTGAAGGTCAGGAAGTAATCTGGTCGTGATTTTTGGTGACCTACGTCTGCTCCCTGTGTCTTTCTTTCCATTGCCCTGTGACAGTTGCTTTCTGAGTTGTGTTAGAGGCTAATGTCATAAGTTCTCTGAACCCAATTAGGAAGGTAAGGTGATAAACAACATTCTATATTTAGCTTTTTATCCGATAACTTTGATATCCATGATTTTTTAAAGTGAACTTTCCAGAGAAACATCCTTATATTGTTAAGTATGCTTGCCCAGATTTGGCCTCTTTTAATTCCTACGTGTAGTTATTGTAGGAGATGGCTAGGCTAGAGGACTATTTTGTGTCCAACTTTTTTGCCACTCTGTTTCAAAAAATCATTTAAAAACCATGTCAGCTTAACAGTAGCCTACATGACATACCTCTCCACCTGGATGGGCATGAAATGAATCTTCTCACTCCTAATGTCTTCTCTCTGCTCTGTCCCCACCAAACCATTTTGTCTCTTTCAGGGCAGTCTCAAGAAATGATCATTTATAAAACAAACTGAGATAAAAGAAAATGATAATAAAAACTGGTGTTCTATGTTCTATTTCTAGTTCTTTTATATATTGTATATGGATCCATCTCCGATGTTATATTACTATGTTGAAGATAGTATTTCACAGTAGTGTTGACAGTATTAACAATCTGAGAAAAGGATGGGGAAGAAATAACATTTGTTGCATACCTATAGTTTGCTGGGAATCATACAGGGTGCTTTATATAAACTGTCTTGCTAAATCCTCCATACAACCCTGGAAGGAGATCAGTATATCCATTGTTTGGACAAGAAAATCAGGGCTCAGTGCCTTGCTGAAGGTCACATGGCTGGCAGTGAAAGAGCTAGCCTGGCCAATGCAATGTACATGCCCTTTGCAAGTAGAGTATGTTTCTGGAAAATGCTATTTCCTCCACATGACACCTGAGAATTCCACTTCTTATACTCCAATAAGTTAACCTTATGTCAGCAGTAGGTTTGAGCTGTAACTGTGAGAGATATGCAGAGTATTGGGAGGTTTTTAATTTATTTTTAATCGTATAGTACTGTATTTTGTCAACATGTTAGGATCACATTCTTGATCTTATGCTCAGATTGTAGAAGGGTTACCAGTGACAACCCCTTATATTTACTTAAAGGAGAATATCCCTGCTGTCCTGGGTCTAGCATATTTTTTTAAGTGTACTTGAGTTCTCATGCGAGATAATTATAGTTTTTTTGAAGTTTAGTTTATTTGTAAATGGAAAAGGCAAGGTAGTTGTAACTTCATTCTGCCCTCATTGTGCTCTTTAGAGCCATGTTAACATGTCCACTATTAGAGGTAATGAGAGCTTAAGCTTAAAGTTCTCTCACTTAGAGCTTGGGGCAAAACTAGCATTGAATGTGATCCATTATTCTATGTATTGAAACATATTATAAAGCTCGTTTCAAATCTCTCTATTATATATTGACATCTACAGAGAAGTCCTACTGAATTCCTCTGATGGTTTGTTTTGTGTTCACTTATTAATTCATTCACATCCTACCTGATTCCAAAAATTGTTAGAGGTAGCTATGTCATGACACTAAGATAGAAATCTTTCATCTTCCCTCACCAAATGATAGGAGGTTAATATATCCACTCACTTCCACAGTTAGGACTAATTTATTAACATTTATAGAGAAATTTACTCACTACGTTTGGTCAGAAATAAAGTGGACTTATCTTGTCTGCCAGATGTTTTCATAGCATTCCATGAGAAATTCCAAATTTAGGCAAATGTTGAGTCCTGTTCCTCAGCAAACTGCGTAGATTCAAGTGCTTGGAACTTGCAAACACAATGTTAGTACTTGCTTAATTTTTTAAGTAATCATTCTTATAAGAAAGCAATGTACTATTCTGACTTAAGAGGTCTAAGAGACTCAATTTCAAGAGAATCTTCAATATAATCAATATATTCTTTTTCTAAAACATCCAATGGGGTTTATAATAAAAGCATTGAAGGAGGTTAAAAATAATACAAATAGTTTAACAACATTAATAAATCATAGCACAAATTCTATCATAAACTACCACACTAGACACAACACATTGGGATATTGTCACTGACCTGCCATCATCATCAATTATGAATAATAAATAAGTCACATTTATAAATATCACTACTTTGTTTACAAGTTTGATCATTTCTTTTCATCATGAAGACTGTCATATTGGATACTCACACACATAGTATATATGTATATATATATACACACACACAACCTTTATTATCTTAGAAAGAAACCTAGTGGGCATAAGGCTGTCATGTAAATTTCGAACTTATTTATACATTCAACAGCTCTGGGCAATGCATTACATCAGCTAAGTTACAGAATCCTGATCAAACTTCTAGTCATATATCAGGATCACAAGCACACAAACTAAATCTCATTTCGCAATATGTCTTCTCTGAAAAGGAAGTCATAACTTAATCTTTTATTATAAATAAAATATTTAAACACACTAAGACAACCAGTGAAATGACTTTGGGCAAGTTATCTAACTTTTCTGAATTTGTTACCATATATCTAAGGCAGAAATGATAGTTTACCTCACTGGGTTTTTGTGGGGATGAAATGAGATACTGTATGTGAAAAGCACCCAGGCCACATAGATATTATTATTGCTGTTACCATTGTTATCACTATTTGTTAAGGGGACAACCTCTTCTGTACTTGAAGAGTCAGCTTCTGATTTACCAGGTTTTTCTGTGTCAGGTTTTCTTTGGGTGCAGGACACAGTGTCTGAAGGCAGATACTTTGAACTTAGTAAAATTAGGCAATCTTATCACTGCCCTCCACAATATCCACATTTTGCTGTTATTGTGTTTTAGTCAAGTGCATGTCAGTGGAGTTACAGATACGGAAGAAGAAAGAATTAAAGAAGCTGCCGCTTACATAGCCCAGAGGAATCTTCTTGCTAGTGAGGAAGGAATCATAACATCTAAACAGTCCACAGCATCCAAACAGTCCACAGCATCCAAACAGTCCCGAGCATCCAAACAGTCTGTGGAATCCAAACAGGCCATGTCCACTTTCCAACAGGAGGAAACTTTTGAAAAGAAGTCAAGGAAAGTTGCAATTCGAGAAAAGGCAGAACGCCTATCGCTGAGAAAAACAGTAAGAAATGACAATTTAATACAATTTATAAAAGTAGAAATGCATGTAACAAGTTATGTGTGTGTGTGTGTGTGTGTGTGTGTGTGTGTTGATACAGATTGATTTGTTTCAAATGAAGAAATATGTGGTATTATGGAGAAACAAAACTAAAGAAAACAAGGAAATGACATTAAAATGTGTAAGTCCAAAGAAAGGTAAACTTAATAATTTTAAACTTCATGAAATTTTAGACTCTAAAGAAATTAAGGTTTTAAAGAACCTTAAAAAATCCTTTGCACTTTAAAAAAATGTTCAATTAAATGTTTTTCTTTTTATTTATTTATTTTTTATTTCAGGATATCGTAAGGGTATAAATATTTTGGTTACATTTTATATCATTGCCTCTCCCAAGCGGAGGTTAGAGGCATGCCCCCCCATAATGCACACCATGTCCTATTGTTGTGAGTTTACCCCCCAACCCCCCATCCCTGGAGAATATGACTACCATGTGAGCACCAATGTGTTAATCAGTCAGTACCAGTTTGATGGCGAGTACAAGTGGAGCCTATTCTTCTGATCTTGTGTTACCTTACTTTGGATAATGGGCTCAAGCTCAATCTAGGAAAATATAAGAGGTACTAGATCACTGTCGTTTCTTAAAACTGAATAATCACACTTCTCTGAAGTGGAATGATTGCTAACAAGATAAAACATTTATTTTAAGAACTGTATATTTTCTTCCCTGCACATCTGTGTTCAGCATTTGGCCTAAGAGTACTTTCAGGGCAAGAATTTGGATCAATTGAAGAAGTCAGTAGTTGAGTAAATGGGTCACTGTAGTGAAATCACTTAGAAAATGTCTTAGATTTCAAGACTCACTGAAGACTTTTAGAAGATTTTCTCAGTGGTGGATAATTGTGCTCTCTGAATGTAGGAAATGCTATGATGGAGGTTTTGAACTTTGAAAAAAAACTTTGAAAATAAAATAAATTCTAGAAAGTCTATATGTGGAGGCGGGGTTGTCTGAGACCCACACAGAGTATGGAATGTTGGACAATGGAGATTCAGAGGGTTCGGTAGTCTAAGCGGGTGGATGATGGGAGGTTGCTTGGGGGGTATAATGTGCATTGCTCCAATGATGGATGCACTGAAGTCCCTGACTTCACCACCATGGAATATATTAATATCAGTGTAGCAAAATTGCACTTGTATCCCATGAATATATACAAATAAAAAATATAGGAAAATTAAAAAAGATAAAGAACCTTAAGAAATCCACGTAGGGAAGTAAACTGTGTTGCTCAAGCTTAAAATATTAAATATTAAATAACTACATCAGTTTTTAAAAGGAGAAAAGGGAATGCATTTTATCTAAACACAAAAGGTTCCAAATGGAAAAAATACAAATTTTGGTTTCCACTTGTTATTTTAGCATCAGAGATCACTTTGATTTAGTAGTATTTTGATAACATGTTTGTTTTTTCAGTTAGAAGAAACCGAAGCATATCATGCCAAGTTGAATGAAGACCATCTTCTTCATGCTCCTGAGTTTATCATTAAACTTCGTTCCCACACAGTTTGGGAGAAAGAGAATGTAAAATTACACTGCTCCGTAGCAGGCTGGCCAGAACCTCGTGTCACTTGGTATGTTATCTTTATGAAAGCTAATAGAATTCATTATATAAAGTTAAATTTCCCTGTAGTGAAAACACACAGATCTATCAATATGCAAGAGTCAATGAAGGCATCTAGAAGTTTGTATAGGTTTTCAAAAGAGTGAAGAAAGGATATTGGGATGAATTTTTGTGTATGAGAAGAAGAAGCAGTCTTGCATATATATGATTCATTATAGTACTTTATAATCCTATTATACAAATGGGTCTTTATTTTATATAAAACATTAAATTTTAGTCAACATATTTACATACCAAAAATATGTCTATAAAAATTAAATAAAAATTTACTTCTATAAATGAACTTTACAAATAATATGATTTTGTGATCAAAAACAATGCCATCTTTTACAAAATAATTAAGGCTCACAGGGCTCCCATCTCTCCCCCTCATGTGAGCTGAGGCCTCAGTGTGCTTTCTGACACCAAACAAAAGAGAGAGAATTGGGTGGGAGACAATATGGGGCCTTAAGACAGTTCTTTTAACAAAGAATAAACACTCTTTTTCTCCTTTCAATGTATATCCTATTGTGGTTATCAATACCTTTGTGATCTCTAAACTGAGAACTTTTTGTCATATGCTATGAATACTATGAAAATAATCTAGCTACTTAAAAAAGACATTCCCTTTTTGTTTTCTACACAGGCATTTTGCATGCTGCTTTTTTATCCTCAGAAGTGGTGGTAAATGCCCCTTAGGTTGTAATATAAACACTCCACAATTGTCACCATCACTCATAGTGTCTGCCTACTTCTTTCATTTCCATTATTTCTAATGTTGATGACTGACTTGCACTAATGGAGGGAGCTGACAAGATAAACCCATTTAACTGTCTATGGTTATCCTTAAGAAGTGGGTGGTGAGTTTTTTTTTTTAAATTTCACCTGTGATATTAGTCTGCCTTTGATAATTCTGGATTTACAATTTTTCTATGTATATAAATTCTTTTCGGAGCTTTTGAGTTTGAAAACTAAAGAATAAAAATCAAAGCTGGCTATAAATTATCAGGGCAAATAATTTATAGTAACAAAGATGAGAAATGTAGGAACATATTTCAGATATGTTAAAGAGGTTTATTCTGAGCCAAATATGAGTGATCACAGCCTGGGGAAAACACAAATTCAAGAGGCGTTGAGTAAGAGGTCCCAAGGTGGATTACATTTTGGTTTTATGCATTTCAAGGAGACAAGAATTGCAAGCAAAGACATAAATCAATACATGAAAGGTATACATTGGCTTGGCCAGAAAAAGTGGGACATCTTGAAGTGAGGGCTCACAAGTCATAGGTGGATTTAGAGATTCTTTAATTTGCAATTGGCTAAAAGAATAAAACTTTCTCTAAAAACTTTCAGTTTTTAGAGAGTTAAGGGGGTCTGTTAAGAGGGTCTGTTAAGGGAGTTAAGGGAGTCAAGTTAAGGGGGTCTGTTAAGGGGGTCTGTTAAGGGGGTCTGTTAAGGGAGTTAAGGGAGTCAAGTTAAGGGGGTCTGTTATCTGTCATGTGATACCATGGCAGAGTCAGGTTTGTATCTAAAGCCCAGAAGGACAGGGATATGGAAAGTATGTCCAACCTCCTTTCTCATCGTGGCTGGGAACTCAGTTTTAAGGTTTTTCTGAGCTCCTTTTGCCCAAGAGGGGATCTTTTCAATTGGTGGAGGACTTAGGGTGTTATTTTTAGTTTACAAATCAATCTGCCTTTGCCTACCTTTCTGTGACTATAGAATTGTATAATTTGTCCTATTAAAGGGATATTTCCTCTTAAAAATTACTTCTCACCTCAAAAAAAATTCAAAACTTTCCTATAGAAATCTGTAAAGAATAACAAATTTACAGCTCTAAGAAATATAATTTAGTCAGTAAACAGTTATCTTATGAATTAAAATATATCAATAATAAATTAGTAACTGGAGACTTTAGTTGAGTAAATATATTTATTACATAGTTTCCTATCTCTGTTTTCCTACTTTTTGAAAATTAAAGATGATTTTCAAAAGGATACAGAATAATTTCTTGGAGATCAATATTAATTTCTTAAGCATTTATTTATTCTGTTAAGTACACAGCAACTGGAATAAAAACCCAACCACAAACCATTGATGGTACTATTAAGCAAGAGTGATACGATTTCATAAAAGCAGAGCTTAACCTCAGAGATTAACCTCCTTACATTGTGCTTTGTTGGCCTGTAAAAGGAGTAATATAAAAACAAACAAAAAGATAAAAACTCTCCAGAAAAATATGTGATGACCAAACTGTCAACCCTTCAAATTCCAGTTAAATTCAAAAATAGAAATACTGTCCGTTTTCAGTTATCTTCACTAATAGAACTGGGATATAGTACATTTGACCCCTAAATCTTTCACAGATGGCTTTGAAATATTTATTTCATTTCATGTACATGTGAATTTTATGTCCTAGGGGCTCATTGCAAACAAAAGTGAAGTCACAGAGACAGCTCTGTGACAGGAAGCACTGGAAGAGCCTCCTCTGGTTCCTGCACCCCCTTTAGTGCTAGGAGAGGGCAACTCGCTCTAGCCTGATGCCAAGCACCAGTCGTAGTGACTTCATTCCCTACCATAAATTCTCCAGGAGGGACAGGCCAGAGCATTTTGCAGAAAGTCTTGTTGCCATGCAAGCTAAGTGAAAAGTAAATATTAAAACAAAACAAAGAATCAGGGAACAACTAACAAAATAGTTAACTGTACTTCTGAAAGCAAGATTTGTCTTGCTTTTGTTGTTGTTGTTGTGCTCAGTTGCCTTTTTTGTTGTTGTTGTTGTTGAGACAGAGTCTCACTGTGTGTCCCTGGGTAGAGTACAGTGATGCCATTGTAGCTCACCGCAAGCTCCAACTCCTGGGCTGTAAGCAATTCTTCTGCCTCAGCCTCCCTGGTAGCTGGAACTATAGGCACACACCACAGCACCTGGCTGGGTTAGGCTTATTTCTTTTTTCTCTCTCTCTTTTTCTTTTTGGTAGAGATGGGATCTCACTGTTGCTCAGACTGTTGTTTAACTCCTTGAGCTCAACCTATCCTCCTGCCTCCCAGAGAGCTAGGATTATAGGTGTGAGCCTCCATGTCCTGAGTAAAGCTGAAATTTGTATAATCAGGTAGCAGATAACTGACAATGATCTATGGCAATAAACAGAGTCAGATCCAGATTTTGTGGGGCATGAAGCTTATACAAGTTGGGGAGGGGCACTCTTTACAAGAAAGAATATAAAGTTAGTAGTACACATTAGGCATAGGGCCTTGCAGGGACTCATGTTTGTGAGGGACCCTGAAACTTAAGCTTCATTCCCTTCATTCCGTGGTAGTTGACTTCTGGGTGGGATTAGTATCCCACCTTTGTAAAAACTCATTAACTGGAGCTCTAGTTTACTTTCAACGCTAGTACAGAGTATACAATCTTCAGTAAACACCCTTCCCCTCAAACAGCAGGGATCCCACAACCCAAGCAAGAACCAAGGTTGTTGGGTGGTTACTTTGCTGGCATTTATGCCTTTTTGATACCTAACTGCAGCTTCCTGGGCCTGACAATGAGCACAAGCATGAAAGAAATATTGGGAATGCCCTTCCTGAAGAGAAGGACGTAAATTAAAGGAATAAGTTTGTGATGATGCTTCATACAATCATGCTGCCTTCACTTCTAGCAGTTAAGTCCTCAGCCATGTCTTTAAAAGGTGTGTGTACCCACCCAGGCCCTGGCTCCATCAGAGCCCTTTCCAAAGAGAATTTGGCTCCAAGTTTCCACTGAGCACCTTTATGTCATGGGAGTCCCCGAGGCCAAGAAATTATACAAACACACAACAGCTGCTCTCTGGCCAACTCTGAATTATTGACCAAATCTATTTAAGTAGAACTTAGAGGTTACCCAGAGAGCAATGAGTGATGGGAACACACATGACCCAGCAAGGGTAGACAGAGGCAACTATAGAGCACTGTTTCCAACTCACTCTTAGGGCAGAAGGAAGCCTGTCTATGCTTTAGGCTCAGTGGAAAAGTTAGTAACGGGGAGGCTGCAGCAACACCACAGTGAACCTGGCCGTCTTGGAGGAAGGCTTTGTCAACATAGGAGGAAAAATATATATGTAGTGAGAAAACCAAAGTTTTAAAATATAATAGGCTTTTTAATGTAATAGCATGTATAATAGTCCATTCATTTCAAAGCAGACGAAAAGAGAATCTATGTTTGTATTTGGTTTACTTGAATAATTAAATTCTGGAAGGATATATAAGAACCCAAGAAGAGCAATTGACTCTGAGGAAGGGGACAAGTAGCAGGAAGGTGCCAGGACTCTTTATGCATCCTTTATACCTTTTGGTTCTTGAACCATATAAGTATATTGCAAATTTTTTAGTCAATTTTTTAAATTATATGAAATAGGGGAGAAGAAAAAGGTTTTCTTTAAAAGGAGAGAATTATGTTAATCTTATACTTTTAAAAAGAGCCAGATTCAATTGGATTTCTGTCCAGAAGCCCAAATCTAATTTGTCAATGGAAATCTTGAGTGGCACCTACAGGAAAATTCGGGAACACTCATTGCAGCAATGTGTTAGTATTAGTGAGTAGCAGTTATTCACTCACTCACTCAATACCAATGTTTTCAGATCTGTATATCGGATATTGACCTAGATCCTTAAGTAAGACTTTTAAAATACGTGGGTAGGCTGGGCGAGGTGGCTCATGCCTGTAATCCTAGCACTCTGAGAGGCCGAGGCAGGAGGATCACTTGAGGCCAGGAGTTTGAGACCAGCCTGGGCAAGAGCGAGACTCCGTTTGTACTAAAAATAGAAAAATTAGCCAGGCATGGTGGTGCAGTCTTGTAGTCTCAGCTATTCAGGCGGCTGAGGCAGGAGAATTCCCTGAGGCCAGGAGTTTGAGGCTGCAGTGAGCTACGATGACGACACTACACTCTAACCAGGACAACAGAATGAGATTTTGTCTCAAAAAAAAAAAAGAAAAAAGCAAAATGCGTAAAATTCTTCAGTTTGGCCCTAAAGTCATTGTCAAAGAGATACTTAAAGAAGTTTGTTGATAAGCATTATAATAATTCAAAACCTGGGAATAAAAGAGTATAAAAATGTATCCTAGGAAGAGTCTGGAGATTTGGAAAACTCTTTTTCTATTTTTGTAAATTATGAGAATTTGTAAATTCTATAATAGAATCACGAACATCGAATTTATTTACAAGATTAGAGTCATTCATCACATATTTAAATTTATCAATTACTATCATATTATCATAAGAAAAACAGCTTACATTGAAAATGGTTAACAAAGATTATTTACAATTTATAATTGTTTCCCAGCATAAGGATTTGGAGTTTTATTTTAGATTTTTCTTATTTATTTAATTTCAAAATTGATCCTAATGAGACAGATCTCTCTCAGATACTTGGTTTTTAAAGTGGGTATATAGGCCGGGCGTGGTGGCTCACGCCTGTAATCCTAGCACTCTGGGAGGCCAAGGCGGGCGGATGACTCAATGTCAGGAGTTGGAAACCAGCCTGAGCAAAAGCGAGACCCTGTCTCTACTGAAAATAGAAATAAATTATTTGGACCACTAAAAATATATAGAAAAAATTGCCGGGCATGGTGGCGCATGCCTTTAGTCCCAGCTACTTGGGAGGCTGAGGCAGTAGGATTGCTTGAGCCCAAGAGTTTGAAGTTGCTGTGAGCCAGGCTGATGCCACGGCACTCTAGCCTGGGCAACTGAGTGAGACTCTGCCTCAAATAAAAAAATAAAGTGGGGATATAGCTATTTATTCAAAACAGAAGGTTGAGTTCTAGGCAGCAATGCCATTTGTGGTGAGATTCGACATATTAAACATCACTTTGTATAATTTGTTGATAGAAAAAAATTATCATGAAGCCTTTTTGCTTGAATATACTTTACACTGCTGAAGAGCTTTTACTATAATCTCATATTACCAAACTCAGCCCAACATCTCAACTGCAATTTGTCTGGAGGGATTAAGTGTATATTTTACACATATAAGTGAAAGTCACTGGATAGTAGAGTGTTATTTTGGAAATACACTGAAAGCTAACTAATAGCTCATAGACTCTACATGAAAATGATAAGGGAAATGGTGCACATCTGAATTATTCACAAGGATTTAAGAAAGCTTTTGACACATAATCCCAGGGTGTAGATTAATCTCCAGAATTAGCCGATGACTGGCCAGTTTGGAATTTCACTTTCCAGAAATAAGAAGCTGTGAAGTATATACAGAGCAGGCCCAAAATCCTTCTTCCCTGACTTAATGCTAAAGACACCCAATCTCAAGTGACCCCAAACTTGAATGCCTCATTGGGTAAAATTCCTCAGAGAGTAGAATTAAATCACTTCCTGGCTTATTCCTTATCCACTGCTTTAAAACAGGAGTTTCTCACACTGGCACCTGGTTTCCAGAGGAAAGATGAGAAAGTCTGAAAGTGGTGTGTGTGTCTTTTAAACCGACTTCCTTTGCCAGGTGCTCATAATAGAAACGTCATTAGCTGGGCAAAGGCATTAAGGTGCTAAGTTGGGAAGTACTGGAAGACAAGGAGGCTGAAGCAACTGCCGGAGCCACAAAATACTTTAACACAAACTTTATGAGATATGAAGAACATTTTGGTCAGAAGCCAAAATGAGTGTCACTCAGTCATTTGGTCATACAGTGCAGGCCACAGCCTTTAGCATCATATTGCTTTTCTTATGAGAAGAGGAGCCACTGAAAACCCTCTAGCACCATGAAAAAACTGAGCATAAGGGAACTTCTGAGTCAAGTGTGAAATTACCTAAACCAGTCAAATCAGAAGAACATGGCAATGGACACGTTCTACTCCATCATTCACTAAAAGGGGGGAATGCTGGAGATTAGGGTTGGCCAGTCGATATCTTTTTTCAGGCCAACTCTGATCAGAACGTCCTGGCTACCTCCAGCCCTGTGCGCTGACCGCTGTCTGTGGCCGTTTCTGGGCTGGCAGGAAACAGCATCAAGTCAGTGGCCACGTCTCCTGTGGGCGGGGAGGAAGGTCATGCCAGACACATGCCACGCAGCTGCGATTCTGGAGCTAGTCCAACTCTCTTCATTTCACATCTAAGGGAACCAAGACCAAAGAGCCTCAACTAACTTTCTTCATGTGCACTTATTTAAAATCATCATGAAGTAGATGTTTGTCGGAACTCCATTTCTTCTGCTGAAAAAGTATGAAGCCACAATTAACCTATTGTGTGACATGATCATTCTATTCAATCTGATTTAACCAACACAAAGGCCTGTCACTTACCCATGACTTACCCTGCCTCAGGAGTGGGAATATTTAATGGAAGTAAATGTGGATCAGACACAGTCTCCATCTTTGAGGGACCAGAAACTTAGTAGGAGAGCAACTTAACAGGAGAGGCACACATCCAACCATAATTTTGATAAATGTTATATTTAGCAATTTGAACCCAATAACCCTGTTACGGAAAGGTAGGAAAGATTCATATTGTGTGGTATTTTAGGGACGAATTTACTAAAGAAATAGCAATTGATCTGAATCCTGAAGGATGAGTTGGGGTTTTATTGGATGGAGGAGACTAATGCATTTTTAAAAAATGCTATAGAAAATGAATAATGTACTTTAGGGACATAAAGGCTGTATGTGACAGAGAGAGAGAGAGTTGAAGAAAGGAAGGAGATGACTGAAGCTGATATTCTTTCTTTCTCTCCCTTTCCACCACTTTCTCTGCTCTCAAACCTCCTTGTAGTCATTTCCCAAAGTCTGAAGAAATGAACTTCAGCTACATAGAGAACGACTAGAAAATGGAAGTATCACATACGCCAGGAGCCAGGCTGCCTGGGATCAAATCCCGCCGTGCTATTCCTAGCTGTGTGACTTGAGCAAGTTCCCTAACCTCTCCATGCATTGATTTCCTCATCTGGAAAAGGAGGTTAAAAAGAACACTACATCATATGGTTATCCTGAGGATTGACTTTACCAGTATATACAAAAATCGCTCAGAGCATTGCCTGGCGCATAGGCAGTTGTCTACATCAATTATGGCTATTAGTATTATTCATGTTAATCTGTGCACACAAAGTGGCAAGTCTGAAAGAGAAACAAGTGAGACACAGTTCCTCTTTGGGGCAGAAAATGGTTTAAATAGAAAAACCTGGTCCAGCACCATAACCACTGGCTACTGCGAGCATGAGGATGTGGTGAAGAGTCAGGGGCTGTGTGCAGATCCAGAGGACAATGTGTCAGGGAGAGGCTTCTCCAAGGACCCCACCCTCTGAGCGCTGAGAGGCTGGCTAACCAGAGATGGAATGGTCAGAAAAAAGGAGGCTTGTAGCTTTTATTCGTCAGAAGTTTCCTTTCATGATGTAAATCATAAGTTCTTTCAAGGAATGAGCCATGTTTGCTTGTAACATAAAATAAAATACTTAAATATAATGATCTTTCAAAACAATGACATTGTTTTTAACACCATGCAAGAATAGCAAGAATGTTTTGCTTTCATCCTACACAGACAGTCAACAATAAACACCCCAACACAAAGCCTTCCTATTATGTTAGCAATGCTCAACTTTGTTTTAAGCTTCTTAATTGTAGTATAATATACACACACAAAAGTGCATATTATAATATATAAATGTATAGCTTTGGTGAATTTTTGTAGCTTGCATACACCCATGTAACTAGCACACAAATGGAGAAACCAAACATTATCAGCACCCAAGAAGCCTCCTTCACGTCCTCCCACTCCACTCTGGGAAATCAGTTCCCTGACTTTTAGCAGCATTAATTAGTCTTCTTGTTTTTGTGTTTTATATAAAAGTAATCACTGCCCTATTCACTATTTTGTAACTGGCTTTTTTCACTAACATTACATACATGAGAATCATCCACATTGTTGGGAATGGTCAACTGTTTCCATGTAAGTTTACAGAGGACAGGAAAGCACTTCATCAGAAGTTTTATTATATTGTTAGTGTATTTTATTTAAGTTAATACAATTTACATTTGTTGAATAGATGCTGCTGCTACTCTCAGTGTTGTGTTTACAGAAGGTGCCCCATGCAAGAACAAGAATTGTATGTGTGTGTGTTTAATCGTGATGTTACTTACACTTCAATTTACTTCATTTTGTTTCCACTATCTTGCAGGTATAAAAACCAGGTGCCGATAAATGTCCATGCAAACCCTGGAAAGTATATTATTGAAAGTCGATATGGAATGCACACTCTGGAGATTAACGCGTAAGACAACATCCATTCCATGTGTGTTGCCCAACAGTCACTCAGGGCAGCGTGACCACACTGAGGGATATTCATATACGTTTCTTCTCTTGCTGCACACCCAAAAGTGATATACATGACTAATCTTATACTACCTCCCAAAGGGATTTTATATTTGAATTTCATCAAAGATGATAAATATAGTTTGTATCTTTTTATTTAACCTTTTATACACTTCAGAGTTTTTATTATACACCTGTAAGAAAATAAGTTGTGTAAATAGATATTTATATTCAGTAATCATTTCAGAGTTCCAAATCAATATCGTCATCATACTCTTGTTTTTGATAAATAAAGGCCATGGAGGTTGGGGTGGGTGCTATTGAAAGTGGGCTGAATTTGGAAATACTGTTCTTCTCTTCAGCTCTTCAGCTCACCAGGAACTATGGGAAAGTATTATATATACACTATCAACTGTGTATGTGAAGCAAGGCTGGACATTGGGATGTTTTAGGATAAAGTAAAATCCAAAGCAAAATTTGAAAACAAAATCCACATCAAGGGAGGAGGAGGGAAAGAGGGGATGGGGGAAAACCTACCTACAGGTACAGTGAACACTATCTGAGTGATGGGCATACTTTTAACCCTGACTTGAGCTTTACAAAAGTGATCCATGTAACCAAAAACATTTTTATCCCCATAATACTATGAAATTTAAAAAAATAAAGATTAAAAAAGCCCACATCAAAATTTTTGAGTTCTCAAAGGTTTATCATGTGTCCCAAGATGGTTTTGAAATCCAAACCTAGTTATTTGGATAAAGAAGCTAGGCAAACTCTCACCATTTTCAATTCAGATAGAACCACAGCATGCTGAAATGTCAAAGTGAAATTTACATCATTCACTCTCAAGGGATTTGTTGCCTTCTCCTCAGATCAGAGGAGTTGGCCCAAGCAATGCTGGGACCCTATGATGTTTGCCAAGCACCGACTCCAACCTACAGTCACATCAGTTCTGCCAGTGGGTGGTTCTACTAAGGCAACAGTGATCTACACTGTTACTTTCAGGATTAAATAGTTATGAGAAGGGCAACTGTGTTTGCCTTCCTGGAGTTCTACTGATGTCCATAAACTTTCAGCATGAAATAAGTTTACACAAATGAAACTAAACCCTGAGGAACAATGAAGAACATGGGGCACTGGTAGCGATAAGACACAAAACATGCTTTGAAATCTTAGTTTGTTCATCTCTCTGTGAGATCATTCTGTCCCTAATTCCATTTTTATAAGACATTCCAGTTTGTGTGTTCTAATTTAGAGGAACATCCAAGTGGCACTTCTTGTGTCCTGCTGTGAACTGAAACTCCAAATGTGGCCTGAACCTTAGTAGAATTGAGGGGTAAATAACTTACTTGTGCTTTGAAACTAGAACACAGAACCATACGTAATACCATCCTGGCTCAGGTTTGTGGCTCAGGGAGGCTGCAGGACTGGGCAAGAGGCTGCCTCTTTCCCTTCCCTGTGGCCCTGTTGCCCCCAGGCTGGAACCCACCATGAGGGCAGGACAGCAGGGAGGCCACGCTCTCAAGTGTGCCTCTGGGTAGTTACCTGCTTTGAAGGTGCATGGCTGGACATTTCTCCTCCCAATAGAACTTTAGAAAGGCATATCATAATGTTGTTCACTCTATAATTTATGTGCTTAGCACTTTGTTGATTTTTTTTATATGTTAAATGAACCCAGGTTGGGGTCACAGTGGACTATAGGTGTTCTCCCCCTACTCTGCATTGCTGGTGAGAAACTGCAGTAGATCACTTGGATTATACAAAATCCCACAGGTAGTTAGATCAGACAGGAACTTCATCAGGAGTCCCAAAGAGCCATGTGTCAGCCACTGTTTCCAGTGTGCCATGTTGGCAAAGACTTCCCTGATACAACAGCTAGTAATTACAAGGATGGTCACTACAATGGATGTTCATTTCCATATTTTCTTTCAGATGTGATTTTGAAGATACAGCTCAGTACCGGGCCTCGGCCATGAACGTTAAAGGAGAGCTTTCAGCATATGCTTCAGTTGTGGTAAAGAGTAGGTTTGCTGGATTTACTCTATTCAAAGTGTTTTTTAAATTTTCTTCCAGTTGCTAAGAATATGAATCCATCACAAAGCACTTCACTCTATCTTTCCTAGGATATAAGGGAGAGTTTGATGAGACACGCTTCCATGCTGGGGCTTCCACCATGCCGCTCAGCTGTAAGTTTAAAAATATATTTGCTAAATGTCGTCTTTATGTAAAATACATAATATTAAGCTATTCTATAGTGCTGAAATAAATGCATACTATATATAACATAGTATATGCTAAGATGGATATACTAGGTATCTATGGTTCGTTTTATTTATTTATGTATTCATTTAGATTCTTTGGTTACTCTTGAATCTAATTGCTTTGTTCTGGTTTTATGAAAGCCCAGATATGATGGGCTAAAAATGGCAAATGCTTTTGACCATTTCTGTGTTAAACTAAGAAAGATCATTATACAAACCTGGGCAAAATGATTTAACCAAATACACACACACACACACACACACACACACACACGAGTCTGGACTATGTCAAAACACCCTTACTCATCCTTAATTATCCAGGTTGGCATCACCTTCTTCAGAAATCATGTCTGGAACTTCAATTTATTTCACTTTCTTACCATCACTCACTGCTTATCCCTATTGAATTTGGCTTCTCCCACCACTCACTCAAGGTACCTCTTTCTCTTATTTACCAAATCTGGTGCAAAAGAACACTGACAGACTGAGTGCTGTTTTCTCAGTCCTCATCTTTCTACCTCAGTAGAATCTGCCATTCTTAATTCACCACATGTGGAAATTCTCTCCCTTTTGGGTCCTTTTTCTTACCATAGAGGTGTACTACCCTCATCCTTCTTCTTCTCTCTTTATTTTTTCTAGAGCATCTCATCTTCTGTCATAATTTGAACTGCCCTCTCTGGGGGGGTTATTTTTTTTTTTATTTCTATATTTCTGTTTGGTTCTAATCCCAACTTCTTTGGGGCAGGGGGGGGGGCAACAGCTAATTCTATAAAATGGAATGAATGTTCCTTAATCCCAACTTCAGGGCTATAGTCAGCTTACCTACTAACAATTTCCTCCAAACCTCCAAATCCCACCAACACTCTTTGCCTGAAATAGAATTGGCAATCTTATATACACATATACTTACTTCCTCCACCTGACTTCCCCATTCCTTTTGATTTTTAAATGCACCCCCGCCCCTATTCCTTTTAAAGGCACTTGTCTGCCCAGGTGTGTTATCTCGGGTTCTGCCCTCTCCCTTCCCCTGCGTATCTGGTTAGTCAGATCAGAATATTTTGTCTTTTTAAAAAGTTCCTGAAATGACCTCTCCATTCCCATTCTCTCTCCTCTTTCGTTATTTCATTCTCCCACACAGTATTTTACCGAATCATTTTTGCTTCTGCTTAATTTTATCTTTCCAAAGCACACAATTGGGTTTGTCTCCCACTACTACCTGTTTCAGAAAACAGTGCCTAAAGTGTTCAGCATCCATTGGTGTGGATAATTAAGTCAATGTAGGGGGTTAAATCAGCTTTTTACTTAAAAAAGTAAAATAGAATAAAAATTATCAGAGTGCATGACAAAATTTTTTAAAAAGTCATGTCTAGCCCCCACCACTACTCCCATGCCCCAACCCAGTCAGGGTTGAGTGTCCAGGTGAGGCCTCAGCACCTCGTTAGAGGGTCTGTGATACTGGACACTGTTACCCAGTATGTGTCAGTTTCTCCCACTGGTCCACAAGCCATTTGAAGGCAAGGCGGGAACTTTTATTGCTAAACTCCAGTGCCTGACACAGAGCAGATATTCAACAATGAATGAATAAATACCTTAATTTATAAAGTGCAATCTAAAATGAAGTCTAAATGTGGTTAAATAATAGAATATTGTGGTCAGTAGTAATTTGTGAATTTTGTGAACTTCAATCATTTCATCTACATCAGAACTTCTCTTCATGGGAAGCAATAGTAAAATCTTTATGGTTGTTGAAATAATTATATGTTTATAATGGACAGACTGAAAAAGGTAGTCAAGCCCTAACTTATTTTTCAAACATTAAGAAATAAATATTTTTCAAACATTAAGAAATAAATATTTTTCAAACATTAAGAAATAATAGCTGGGTGCGGTGGCTCACACCCGTAATTCTAGCACTCTGGGAGGCCAAGGGACGTGGATCATTTGAGCTCAGGAGTTTGAGACCAGCCTGAGCAAGAGTGAGACCTCGTCTCCACTAAAAAAATAGAAAGAAATTAACTGGACAAATATATATACACACACACACACACACACACACACACACACACACACACACATATAAATTAGCTTGGCATGGTGGCGCATGCCTGTAGTCCCAGCTACTCGGGAGGCTGAGATAGAAGGATCGCTTGAGCCCAGGAGTTTGAGGTGGCTGTGAGCTAGGCTGATGCCATGGCACTCTAGCCTGGGCAACAGAGTGAGACTCTGTCTCAAATAAGTAAATAAACAAATAAATAGTCGTTTTGAAAATGGCTGAAGATACTTTTTTCATGGGCCTCTTTTTCACCTAACTGGTTAGTTTGGTGTCTACAGATGACCTACTCCACTGACTTCATGGGATGGCTCCTAACTTGAATACTGTAAGTCATAATCATTGGTACCAATCCCCTGGGCAGGAGGGATGAGGGTACAGCAACAGAGGAGGATGTCCCATGTCATGTCCTCCTTCCACAACTTGATTAATACTGAGATAGAATAGTTGGAAATTCTGGAACTATGACTTATCTCCCAATGTCCCCAGGACTGGCCTGTTGATCACATTCAGTCCTCTGAGTGTATCCTGCTCATTCCCACAGCGTGTCATCAGTCATGTTTCTCCCTTTTCCCTCCTCTCTGTTAGGTGGGTTCTAAAAGCCTAGTGTGGCCCCACTTCTCTTACTGCTCAACCTTACAGCACCTCCTGTGGCCAACTCCTGAACTGAGTGCAGTTGTTCCTGACAGAAAACAGAAAATAGAGGGCTGATAGCCATACATTCAACTAATATTTATTGAGTGCTTACTATGTGCTAGATACCGGTTTAAGTACTTGGAATATGCTGGCAAATATCGCAGACATAGCTCCCTGCTCTTGGTTCTGTTCTGATAGTTATTTATTGGTCAGTTGTGCCAGACACAGTACTAAGACATTTTTTATATGCATTGATTCATTTAGTGTTCCCCCAAAGCTTATAAAGTAGGTGTATTTTTATCTGTGCTGTGCAGATGAAGAAACAGTTTAGAGACATTAAATAGCAGGACAAGACCCACAGAGTGGCAGAATAGGGACTTGTAACTTGGTCTTTTTAATTATAAGCCATATTTTAAACAAAGGGTCAGCAAACGTTCTCTCTAAAGGATTAGATTGTAAATATTTTAGGCTTTATAGAGCATATGGTCTTTGTCACAACCACTCAGTTCTACCACTGTAACACAAAAGAACCCATCAGCAGTTGGTGAGTGAATGAGCATGGCTGTGTTCTAAGAAAAACTTATTTATGGACATTGTAATTTGAATTTCCTATGACTTTTTACATGTCACAAAGTATTATTCTTCTTCTGATTCTTTTTTAACCATTAAAGCATTTAAAAGCCATTCTCAATGGTACTAACAGGAAGCAGTTGAGATTTGCCCACAGGCTTGCCAATCCCTGCCCTAAACCGTTTTTCCTGGGATGGAAAGTATGTGTGATAAAGGGTTGAGGAAGTGACAAATGAATGATGTTTTGTTTTCTGGTTGTCAAAGGTGAAGTAGCTCCCTGCTGAACTCCAATCTCAGATATAGAGAGAACCTAGGATTTACATTCTGCTTCCAGGGGTGGGGGACCTATTTGCATTTCCAGTTGGTCTGGAACATCCAGGTCACTACAGACCTTCCTGATAATCCTCACCTCCACTTTGGAAGAGTCCAGCCTCCGAGTGCTGTGCAAGATCTGATCAAGTTTTTCTCTCTGGTCTCAGTGGAACATCCTCATGTAGAAGTGAGGCAGCTGGGAGATATGCTTTCAAAGAGAAGTTATTTCACTGTTGGTTAGCGGTTGAGAACACACAAATTTAAGGCAGGACAATGTATTGGTTGAGGGCACGGGTTCTGGAAACAGCATGCTGGTGCAAATCTGGCTCTGTGGGTGAATGTGGGCAGTTATTTAGCCCCATTATCCATCAGTTTCCTCTTCTGTAAAATAGAGATAATAATGGTACTTACCTAATGGGGTTATTATGGAGTTTGAGTTAATCACTTTTAAATACTTGGAACAATACTGAGCAAAAGGTGAATTCAATAAATGTTAGTTTGCATTTTCAAGTTAATACTAAGAGGTCTTAGAAGGGGAGGCGAAGTATGTGAAAAAGAGCCTAAGTTTTGGATTTGGGAAGTTATGGATTTGAATTTCAATTTCACACTTACCAGCTGTGAAATCTTAGCATTAGCTGTATATTACCTCTATGAACTTCCCTATCCCCATCTGAAAGAAAGGAAAAAATAGTATCTATGCCAAGGAGTTGTTGCAAGGAATAGATGACATATCAAATGTGAAGCCTGGCATGTAACAACCCATCAATAAATAATCATTTCTTTCCCAAGTCCTTTCTTTTGTGAAAGGAGAAAATAAAACCTAGGAGAATTGATGTGGCAGGTATTTGCTTAATCTATAAATAAGGTATTTCTGAGAAAAGTCTTTTTAAAAATACAAATATTTTAAACTTTTCCATTTTCTCTCATTGACATTTCATTTTTTTTCTTTTCTTTTCTTTTCTTTTCTTTTCTTTTCTTTTCTTTTCTTTTCTTTTCTTTTCTTTTCTTTTCTTTCTTTCCTTTTTTTTTTTGAGACAGAGTCTCACTCTGTTGCCTGGGCTAGAGTGCCATGGCGCCAGCCTAGCTCGCAGCAACCTCAAACTCCTAGGCTCAAGCAATCCTTCTGCTTCAGCCTCCCAAGTATCTGGGACTACAGGCATGAGCCACCATGCCCAGCTAATTTTTTCTGTATATATTTTTAGTTGGCCAATTAATTTCTTTCTATTTTTAGTAGAGACAGGATCTTACCCTTGCTCAGGCTGGTCTTGAACTCCTGAGCTCAAAGCATCCGCACGCCTCGGCCTCCCAGAGTGCTAGGATCATAGGCATGAGCCACCACACCTGGCCTCATTGACATTTCTTATATTTTTTACTTAGATCATTAAAGAAACTGAAGCACCTTACTGAAAAATTCCATTAAAAAATTTTTTTAATTAAAAAATTTTCATTGTTATGGATATGTAATAATTGTACTTATTTACGTGTACATGTGATATTTTGATACAAGCATACAATGTTTAATGATCAAATCAGGGTAATTGGGATACCCAACACCTCAAGCATTTACATTTCTCTGTGTTAGGAGCATTCCAATTCCACTCTTCTAGTTGTTTTGAAATACACAATAAATTATTGTTAATTAAGGTCATCCTATTGTGCTACCAAAAATAGATCTTATTCCTTTTATCTAACTGTGTTTTTGTAACTATAAACCAGCCCCACTTTATCCTCCTCCCACTGCTCTTTCCAGCCTCTGATAATTAACCGTCATTCTACCGTCTGTTTCTGTGAGATCAGTTTTTTTAGCTCCCACATACAAGTGAGAACATTCAAGACTTGTCTTTCTGTGTCTGGCTTCTTTCAGTGAACATAATGTCCTCTAGTTCCACCCATGTTGTTGCAAATGACCAGATTTAATTCTTTTTTATGGCTGAATAATATTCCATGTGCATACATATCACATTTTCTTTATCTGTTCATCCATTGATGTACACTTAGGTTGATTTCATATCTTGGCTACTGTGAAGAATGCTGCAATAAACATGCAAGTACAGATACCTCTTCAATATACTGATTTCTTTTCTTTTAGATATATACCCAGAAGTGGGATTTCTGAATCATATAGTAGTTCTATTTTTAGTTTTTTAAGGTGCCTCCATACTGTTCTCCATAGTGGCTATAATAAGCTACGTTCCCACAGCAGTTTATAAGGGTCCCCCTTTCTCCACATCCTTGTCAACATCTGTTATTGCCTGTCTTTTTGATAAAAGCCATTTTAACTGACTTTTTTATAGTTTTGATTTGCATTTTTCCGATGATTAATGATGTTGAGTATTTTTTCATATACTTTTTGGCCATTTGCATGCCTTCTTTTTTTAAAATGCATTTTTCTTTTCTTTTTTAAAAATCTGTTGTATGTCTTCTTTTGAGAAATGTCTGTTCAGATCTTTTGCCCATTTTTAAATCAGATTGTTTGTTTTTTTGCTGCTGAGTTGTTTGAGCTCCTTTTATATTCTGGTTATTAATCTCTTGTCACATGAAAAACTTCATTTTTATGAGTAATTGATAGGTCTACTTTGTCTCAAGAGTAAAGGCAGTAGAGTTTAAATTAACTCAAAATCTAAAATTAAAAAGTACATATATTGCAGCCATCGATTTAAGTCTAGGCTAAATATGTTATTAATTTGCATTTAAGACATTAAACCTGACCTTTTAAATTCTACTGATTATAATAATAAAAATAAGCATTTAGCTTATATGATCAATGAAGAATTTCATACAAATATTAGGTTACTAAGTATGAAATGTCTGGTTTCCTTAAATACTAAGTTTGACAGTTGATATCTCTGAAATTTCACTCTGATACTTCTTGTTTTATTTTTATTGTGTAGGTGTATCCTCATTCTTTCAAATGCATGGGTTTGGCTTGTGATTATCTTTCACACTTTTTTAGAGCAATTTTTGTGAAACCATGGATCAGTCGAAAATTCATGTTATTTTTGAATATGAGTTCCATCATGGAACCAGTGCAGCACATACAGCTTGAAATATCAATGAAGTGTTTAGGAAGGATGTGGCTAATGAATGCACAGTGCATCAATGGTTTGAGAAGTTCCATTTGGTAATTTTAATCTTGAAAATGAGCCACATTGGTGACCTGAGACCAAGGTAGATAATAATGAAAGCTGTAGAGTCTAATGGAAGCAAATCCATCTTAATCTATACATAAATTAGCAGCAAGTTTTGATGTTACTATTCCAACAATATTGGACCATTTGAAATAAATCGGCAAGGTAAAGAAGCTGGATAGATGGGTACTGCATGAATTAAATGAGCATCAGAAGAGAAATCATCACAAAGCTTGCCTTTCTTTGCTATCATGACATAAAGACAAACCATTTCTACACCATATTGTTATGTGTGGTGAAAAATTGATTCTTTGTGACAACCGTGTTTGGCACAATGGTTGGATAGTGATGAAGGGCTCCTGGTGACTGTTCGGTGGTCCAGCACTGGTACTATCCACTACAGCATCATGAAACTTGGTAAGTGGATTACAGCAGATGTCTACTGCAATCAACTAGACGAAATGATGAGGATGCTTGCAATTAAGCAGCCAAGATTGGTCAATAGAGACAGGTCAATCCTCTTGCAAGACAACACTTGACCACATGTCACACAAACAGCCCTGCTTAAACTACAGAGGCTGGACTTAGAAACTCTCTGCCATCCACTCTATTCACCAGAACTTATACCAGCTGGTGACCATTACTTCCAGGCTGCGGACCACTTCTTGCAAGGAAAAATATTCAATTCTCAGCAAGCTGTGGAAAATACCTTTTATGATTTCATCGCACTCAATCCCCAGGCTTCCTCACTGCTGGCATAAACAAGCTACTGTGAAGATGGCAAAACTGTGTTGAGTTTAGGCACATACTTTGATTAATTGTACTGCTCCTTGTTTGAAATACAGGAAGCTAAACTTTTGATTTGAAATCGGACATTTCATATTTAATGACCTAATATTATGCATATGTTCTACATACTTCTTACATAGAACTTCATTTTTGCCCAAATAAGTAATTTGATTAGTCTTTGTTGTGACTGCTTTCTGCCTGTGCTTATTCAAATGCTTGTGTCTCTTTGATGAGAAAAAAAATAAATTACTGATATTTGTTTTTGTTGTACCCAGTTGCTGTGACCCCTTATGGTTATGCATCCAAGTTTGAGATCCACTTTGATGACAAGTTTGATGTGTCCTTTGGAAGAGAGGGAGAGACGATGAGTCTAGGCTGTCGTGTAGTCATCACTCCTGATATTAAACATTTCCAGCCAGAGATCCAGTGGTATAGAAATGGTGAGTCTTTATAATGAATCCTCGCTTAGGTTCTTATTCACAGAAGATTGTAGACCAGTTTGCAGATCTGCTTATCAGAGCTGGCAGAATCTGGAAGTTAGAGGGATTTCCTACTGCAGTTTTAAAAAGTTTTTACATATACAGCAAAGTAGCAACACTTTCATAATATATTTGTAAAGATGATATTTTCTTATCAATAAGTAATATATGGCAAGAACTACAAGAAATGTACATTCATTTTGTAAGTTAATTTTATTTGGTAAAATATCCTTCCTCATAGAGACCACTGAAATTGTATGAAACTTTAAAAATCATAACCTTATAAAACAATAAAATCCTGATATTCTTCATTAACCAGCATAATAAATGAAGAGGAAATTTAGACTTTGGCACTTTTATTCTAATGTTTTAAAGGCTCCTTATAATTTTGAAACCTCTAAAATATGCAAGTTATACTGATGTCCCTTAAGAACACAAAAGTAGATAAAATCATTCTTTTGTTTTATATCGTATTGTAACTGAAGCTGGTAGAACAGAAAGAAAATCTTTCTATTGTCAGTTCCTCTGAATCTAGCTTTAAATCACAATTCAGCCTTACTTTGCTTCAAAAGAACCGCAATACTTTGGTGTGAAAAAGAAACAAGTATTTAATTTTCCCTTTTAAATCTGATTTGGATCAAAGTCTATTTAAAGGCTAGCTAACACTCCAGATCAAACCCAAACAAAACAAAAAAGCTATCAAAACAAGTTGATTAGCTGAAGTATTGAATTTAAGAAATAATATTATTTCTAAAATAACGACAAATCTTAGATCTACATATACTGAGTTTCTATACCAGATTATCTCATTCAATAGACTAAGACGAAACAGTCTGAGGAGAACAAGGGATTGCCCCAAATCCCACAGCCAAATTTTGGCCGTGTGAGACCTTCAGAGCTGATGGTTTTCATTCTAAGCCCAGAGCTCTTTTTATTTCCCTGCACCTCCTCTTATATCACTGAAACATGAGGTCTAATGCAGAAAAGAAAACCGCACAGGAAAATTTGTACTTTCCCTGACCTCTGCATCCCTTTATGCCTAGATAGTGAAAAAAAGCATTGAAATTTATGAAATCGAATTTGCCCCTAGGTGCATATTTATCTGTGAAGCTAGCTCCTAGCTAATAAAAGATGTGTAGTGGAGAGAGCAATGAATAAACCCAGAGACTCTCATCAGCCCTTTTAATTCATCCTAAAGTCTTCAGCAGATTTATTTCTAGAGAGGGATTATATTTTAAAGCCCTTAAAATTCCAGATACACTTAGCTATTCTGTGTATTAGTAATGTTTTCATATAATTTTTCTGTGTAACCCTTTTTTAAATAAACTTGGAGGAGAAATATAGAAAAATGAAAGAAAAAATAGTTAATGGTGATCCTTTGTGGTATTTCCTGTAAGGTACTTTATGATGGTTCAAACTCCATTGTGTTCATGAAAAAAACTAAGGCCCAGGAAGGTTAAATGATGTGCCCAAAGTTGTATAGTTAATGAAAGAGGGCTAAAACATAGGTCCCTTCCAGGGCTTGACCTTTTGGTCATGTAAACTGTGCAGTCCCACAGGAAGAGGACCTGGGCTTGGCTTAGTGCTCTGCTGTCACAGTCTTGAAATTCATAATCATTTTATCTTTGAACTTGTGTTTTGTGTGTGAAGTCCAATGGGACTATGGAGGATACACATGATCAGAGGAGATAGGCCAGCGACCAGGCAGACACATGCAGATGTAGGCCCCCCTCCCCCACCATGGTGGGCACTGGGTGGCAGGCAGCATCCTCACCAAGCAGCAGGCCTGGTGGGCATGAGAGTACCTGGGGCAGTCTGTGGCACCATGAGGTTCCAAAGTGATGGCTGGAACCAGGACCTGGGCCCAGATTGGAATTAGCAATGGTGCGGCACCGGCAGCAGCAGAGGTGATGGTGGCTGCAGCCACAGAGGAGAGGAGGGGCTCCACATGGAGGTAGGTCGGGGACATACAATGGGAGGTCAGCTTGCCCATCCATCCCCAGAACTCATCTCTGTGGGCTCTGCACAAATATTAACTCCCTGGCCTGAGCAATAAACTTTGTCAGCAAAATATTATGAAATAAAAGTGTACATGTAGACATTGTAATAAAGCACATAAGGCTGTTATTAGAATTCTCAAAGACTTTGGACTCTCTGGTCTTGAGGCTTATAAATAGAAATTATATTTAAAGATTTTAGCATTTGATGGGAAAAAACATGATTTTTATGTCTAACTTTGGATGGGTTAATTATTAACAAGGAAGACAGTTTTTAAATTAAAGCTTGTAATTGAAGAGACAATAATAGAATACACAGCAGGTGTTCTAAATTATATACAAATCACAAGTCATTTTTGATCTTAGTATCATCTCCACAAGTTAGATAAAGCATTAAAAAGCAATTGTATAAATTTACATTTAAAATTAAATTTGGACTTACACAAAACTGTATGAAGAGTTAAATCACTTTAGAAAAATTGTTCCTCAAGTATCATCAGTACAAGAGTACTAAAATTTATATCTTGAAATAGCGTATCAGAAAGTTAACCTAATGTTGTTATAGCCTTTGTAACATTCTTAACAGCTCCAGCAACAGTTGCATCAGCAGAAAAGTCTTTCTCAAAATAAGTTATGGAAACTCATTTGTGAACTTGTGTTTATAAAGAGTGCCTTTATAAATTCTATAAAATGAAGTTACTAAAAGTATAAATTTAGATGACTAATAAATGAATTTGTAGAAAAGCAGGCCACAAATATGTTATTATCAATCATCACTTTAGTAAAGTAAAAAATATAGTAAAGTAATATTACTTATTGTATATAAAGTTATAGCACCAAAATATTATTTTGGCTACTTTTATTATCCTAGTGTACTTTATAAGTAATAAAATATTCTTAAAGGAAAAAGCTTTATATTTTAGCACTTTCTTTCCTCTTTGTAAAAATTATTTTTTTCTTTAAAAATTTTTTTGTTTTTTTCATTTTTATTATTACTCTTTTTTTGGTCTTTTTTTAAAAAAATACATTTCTACTTTTGTTTTTCTTCTGCATAGTAATCTGCAGGAATAGTTTAGCACCTTTAAGTTAACTTTTTCTCTGATTTTTGAACAAGAGGCCTTGCAAATTAATTTGCACCAGGCCCCTCTAAATTATATATCTGGCCCTGGTGCCCAAACTTTTCGTCTAGTATTTTTACTAATATAAACATAGCACAATGACTCAAAGTCCTAGAGACTTCCTCTAGTAATTAAATAGCTTTCAATATAGAAAAGTTTAAGGGAGAGGAATAGAGGATAGGAAGAAGAAAATAATGGAAGAAAAATAAATTAATTTGCTTTTTTAAAAAATTTTTAGGAGCACCTGTTTCTCCATCAAAATGGGTGCAAACAAGTTGGAGTGGAGAACGGGCAACACTGACATTTTCCCATCTCAACAAGGAAGATGAAGGCCTCTATACAATTCGTGTACAGATGGGAGAATATTATGAACAATATAGTGCTTACGTCTTTGTTCGAGGTAAGTCCTAGCAAAAAACAGAACACCCAACAATATTTACCACACTGAGCCCAAGTCAATTTATCCAAGCATGTTTTTATAATAATGAAAGAGCCATTCAAACTTCTTCCAGGTTACCTGGGCTAAGCATTTTAGTTTCTAGTAAAACTAGACCTAGTGTAAAAGGTGAATCCTGAAGGCACCAAACAAAAGGGACCCTGAAGGCACCAACTCATGGTTTCTAGACCATGTTACTGTCACTACTGTCAGGACTTTCCTCATCTTCAATAAGCCACAAATACAGTTCTCTACAGGTGTTTAAGTGGAGAAGCTAAATCCTAATAAAACAGAAAGCCATCTCAGTTCATGGAAGCTGCCACAAAAGAGGGATGTATTATTTTGGGGCTTACCCTTTAATATGTATGTATTTAGGTAGCAAATTTATTATTTCATTCCAGGCTCTTTCTCGATAGCTTCAGTTTTGATAGGAAGCAAGGGTCTACAACTTAATTCCTGAGACAAACCATAATTGTTGATTTTAGGAGTCTTTTTTTTTTTTCTCAGTGATGTCTTAAATGGATTGGATATATACAAGTAGAATGTTATTTCTCCATGGGATCCCACTTTGGAAGACCCTTAACACTTTCAGGATACCAGGGTAGTGTTCTGTGTCCTACTACATGATGGCCGGTCAGGTGCAGCCAGAAGAAAAGACACAGAAGAGGCTCAAGAAAACAAAGTTTATTATACTCACAGGATCTAGAAACAAGAGGCACAGCAGGCCACACAGGAGAGCATCTGTGTCAGTCAGGAGGCAGAAGGGGCAGGAGCAAAGGGAGAGCTTAGACCATGCCCTTTATTGGAGTTTTTTTTGAAAGTTAAGGCAGGGCAAGTGAACAGTTTAAGATTGGCTAGTTCGAATAATTTTGATGGGCTGTAAGCTATAGGTGTGGTCCCTAGTTGCCTGGGACCTGGCCAGGGGGTGATTAAGGCAGAGGGACATTGCCTCCTGGGTTACCTGGGTTATATGGGCCAGACAGAGGGGGTGTGGCTTGGATTACTTAGTTTGCATGTCGAAGGCATGCTCCCCACTGGGCCCTTTGCTACCTCTAGAATTGGCTATCTGGAGGGACAGTCTTCTGTCTCTCTTTGGTCAGAAAGGTTTTTAAGATGTAAAAGCATCCTAATATGCAGAAAATTAAGGATATAAGCAATACAGGTAGACTTACTAATTTTTATCTCTCATGCACTAAATAGAATCATAAATTTATAGGCATTTTCACCAAGATGGAACCTTAAAGGTCATCCAGATATACTTAACTGGGATCCACAGACTCCCAAAGGGTAATTGAGCTTTTTGTAATCTTATGTATTTTATTTTATGTATTTAGAAGCATTATTCTCAGTCCTCTAAGCTTTACCTGTTTGTCAAAGGGGTCAATGGCACAAAAACTGTTAGGATTCCCATTCCATCTAACCCCCTAATTTTAAGAGGCAGAAACTGAGACTCAAAAATGTACAGTGATTTACCAAAAGCTTCATTTAATTAGAAGCAGATGTGGAATAGGTGGGAATAGGCATCAGGTCTCCTGATGCCTAACCCAGGATTTTAATTAGGGTATGGGCTCAGTTGCTAAAATGAAACAACAAAAAGTTTCTCTCCTCGATGAAACATCAACAAGAAGTTTATTTCTCTCCTCGACGTGAATCCAGAGGTAGGGGATGGTCCAGATGGCTTTGCTCCACACGGTCATTCAGCATCCCAGCTCCCATCTACATTGTTATTCCACAGTGCCTTGTGGTGCTGTCCCATGTTCCCTTCCAGCCAGAGTGGAGAGGCACAGGCAGATATTTATCATATGATAAATTTATGTTTACATTTTTAAGAAACTGCCAAGGTTTTAAATATTTCATGTGTTTTTAAAGTACTTTGTATCCATTGAGTTGCATGAGGCTATTTCAATGCATTGTTTTAGATGTTTGTGCTGCTTAGAAAATAGCTTCCACTACACAATGATCAGTGTACAAAGTACCATATGTCTGCAGAAACACATTGCAAAGAGCAATACATATTTAGCCAGATTTTATTATTTAGATAATATGTATTCATTGGGGAAAATAGGTAATGTAAATTTAAAAAGAAATAAAGGAAAAAGAAAAGTCATCTATAAGACCACCCTCTAGAGATATCCAATGTTATCATTTTGTTGCATATTCTTCTAGGCTTTTATATATTCTTTCCTTCTCTTTCTCCCTCTCTCTGTGCTCTCTCCCTCTCACACACTCACAGAAACAGAGAAATAATAAAGTGATGAAGGTATAGAATGGTATAGAAATGTCATGAAAGAAGAATTGAAAATGACAAATAAGTATATGAAAATTTTTCACTCGTAATCAAAACAAAAATGAAAATTGAAATGAGATAATGTTTTTATCTATCATATTAAAAAATTAAGAGACTTTTAAAACCCACCGTGGTAGAGGTATGGAGAAACCATACCTCTCCTCTACATAGCTGGTGAGTGTAAATTGGTTCAACTTTTCCCGGGATGTTTGCCATTGCATATTAAAAGCACACATTGCCAACAATTCTAGTTCTAGGATATAAGTGCACAGAGGTGAAAAAATGTTTTTATTGGGGAAAACTGGAAGAAATCTAGATATCCACCAATATGGGGGTTATAAAATAGAGTAGATTGACGTGGAAAACTGTCAGGCGCCAGAACGTGCCTTCTGTCGCTCCGCATCCCCATGGGCCGGCGCTGCACAGGCCAGTTGCAGGGAACACTGCTGAGGCCCCCTCCTGCTGTCTGGGCCTGTGCTCCGGCTGAGCTGGCTGCGCAATCCTGATTGGGTAATTTTGGGATCCCACTGTTGCTGATTGGATGTTAAAGCTTGTTGCTGATTGGATATTAAAGCTTGTAGTTGATTGGATGCTTTTTGAGTCCTACCAAGGATATAAAAGCAGGAAGAGAACAAGGAAGGGGGATCAGAAGATCAGAAGATGAGAAGACAGGTGTAACACTTGCTGTGCTAAGCCTGCTGGCTGAATAAAGGATGTTCTCTGACTCTTAGTGTGCCGCTGGGTTCTTTCCCCGGTTAAGAGCTGTAGCACTAGCTGTGCACCTTGCTGCAACAGATACTCCATGTGAACAGTGGAATCCCACACAGCAATGAAAACTAATGCTATATACCTACATTGATTGATATGGAAATATATCAAGAAAAAAGTTTACCTGAAACTGTACAGCACAATCCCATTTTATTTAAAAAATAATCATTTCTGAGTTTATAAATAAAGAAAAAATGTCTGGAAAGATTTGGGCCAATATGTTAGTAGTAGTTATCTCTGAATTATGGAATGAAAAGGGATTTTAACATATTTTTTATTATCATACTTTTATAAATGTGCTACTTTTACAATAAAGACAAAAAATAGAATTATATTTTCAAAAGAGTTATCAGTAGTCTGTGTCAGAGGTCAAAATATAAAGAGTAGCAGGCTAGTCTTTGACCCAATTAATCAAACCTACAAAAAGTTTGGCTTTCTGGAGCATTAGAAACTAATGATGTCTGCTGGGTACTGTGGGCTAGACATTGTGCAGCAGCTGCTGGAAGGCAAATACCATGTTCTGGTGCTTCACAGTTATGCTTTTGTCATTCCAAGTACATTTTGTTCTCCCCCTATATTGTAACTCCATAGGAGAAAGAATGATCCTTATTTTTTAACTTTTGCATTTAGCACCTAGAAAAATACTGACTGAATGAATGAACAAATGAATGAATGAATGCCTGAGTAACTTGAAAAGTTGTCAAGCCCACCCCCGTGAATGGTATATTCTAAGCAATGCTATAAAATGTTGGAAAATGGCTCCCTGAATGCTTACCATCTGCCCAGCTCCTTTACAGTGTATTCCTGCTAGAGCACATCTATGCAATGGATGCTCAGCTAACTAAACTCTGCTCTATCAATGCTGGTTGTTGTGCTATAGGCTTTTAGCAAAAGGACATGGTTAGAGGTCACCAGCTATCCCCTGGGTGCGGAGTGGCTTTCCAGCAGCTCCTCTTGTGTTATTGAAGTACAGCCTCAGCATGCCCCCCTCCATTCCCTAACTGCTCTGCCTTTATCAGCAGCACCATCCTCCCCCACCCAGCGCCGTCAAATCCAACAAGGAAAGACGTTTCTCCGCACTAAAATGCTCATCTCTCGTTGTGTGGCACGCAGGGATTCTGCATTAGGTTTTAGGCACAATAATTTAGTTACATTCTCCTGTAGCACTTCTGCAGGAAGTATTTGCCTAGAGACACTTTCCTATTGGTTCATGGGGCAAGAAACAGAATGTTCAAAATGCAAGTGACTTGAGCTCTTCGCAGGTAATGAATGCATACTTATTAAATTCAGAAGTGTACAAATATTTCTGGCATGTCATGAGATGTCTTAGTAACTTACAAGAGTTACAGAAGTGTATGTAGAGTGTAGGAAAAGAAAGTGTTCAGTCAACATGGGTGCTTTCCCTTGGGTGAGTGGCTCCTGCATGTCTCAGCCTCTTCTCCTCCTAACTGTCTATGAAAGCTTTGGTCAAATGCCAGGAGGAATTGGCAACTGTGGACTCCTTGCCCCTGGGACCTTCCCTCTTGTCTTAATTATTCTTACTTAAAAGGTTACTAACTTGCATATTCTCATTCCCTATCCTCTCCTAAAAACATCCCTGATTTACTAATTTAGCTGTGCCAGAGGGGACCACACAGTCAGGGGATCATGTTTCATAAACAGTCGCTGTCCTCTGTTCCTTGCATTATCCTGGACTTTTACTAAACGCAGATAAACTAAGTTCAGATGTGAGTATTGCATCAGATGATCTTTAGTTCGGGAACAATCATTTGATTAAATCGAATGTATTTCTTTCCCTCGCAAAATGGTGGTGTCTAGCACAGGAATGGGCAAAGGGTATGGTTCTTATTCTCTTATGGTTGCACCCAGAGGGACTGTTTGTCCCTCTTTGGAGCCTTCATAGTTTCTGAGTACCATTGCACAATCAATGTCATAAGAGCAGATTTTCTGGCAGAATTGACCTGTTGGATAGCAATCTCCAACATCTCCATCTTATTTTTCTTCTGGAACATTTTGGGCAGCAAAGGTCATGAGGCAAAGGTCATGGTTCTTTTCAGAGCCCTTTCAATTTTCTGACAGGATGTTCTTCCTACTGACAGTGAAAAACACACATGGTTATGTTGGTATACAAATTACAAGATCTGAGGCTTGCTCTGCTGGGGCCAAAGATTTAGCCACTGTGGTGATGTGGTGAGGAATGTGTGTGCCGAGACCTCAGCCTGCCAAGCCGACAGAGCATGTCTGACAGGGTTAATGGGATCTTTCTGTATCTCCACAGATGCTGATGCAGAGATTGAAGGAGCACCAGCCGCTCCCTTGGATGTCGTGTGCCTGGAGGCCAACAAAGATTATATCATCATCTCTTGGAAACAGCCAGCTATAGATGGAGGGAGTCCTATTCTGGGATACTTTATTGATAAGTTAGTGTTCAGTCTAACTTCAGTTAGAGTTTTTTGGCCATAGAGATGCATGCTTGATTTTTCCTGTCATTTCTAGGTGACATATTTTCTTTTCTGGCCTTCCCCTTCATCTCTGTTTCTCTTTGTCTGTTTCTCTCTTCATCTCTCTCTTTATCTGTCTGTCTGTCTGTCTGTCTGTCTCTATCTATCTACCTATCTATCTACACATACACACATTATTTATATCTATATCTATAACTATTTACCTACCAATTTACCTAAATTCTAAAGATAAATTCTTTGAATTTAACTACTAGCTCAAGTCACTGATTTGGAAAGAATGTTATGAATTTGTAGACCTAATAGAGGCCACTTGGGAAATGGAATAGCTGGTATTCAATATATTTAATGTCAATATTCTTAATATGTTGGTGATTTAAGAATATTGACTTTAGGAATACTAACACAATCTTATTTATACTGTAAGATGTAGTTTTAAGTTATACAAAGAAATAACAACAAAAATCAATAGTATTAAATTATACTCTAACTATAAGTCCTTGTTATTTACATTCTCCAAAACTTATAGGGTCTGATATTTATAGTAACTTGGTTTTACACATTAATTATGAAGTGAGTTTGGACAATATAGACAGCAAATTTAGATTATTGGCCTAAATGCATTGTTCTGTGACTTTGTTTCTATTCAAACAGTTGCTCCAATTCTCTTTTCATTTTTGAATAATGAAATATGATTGTACTAACTACTAGGGACAGATAATATGTATTACTATAGTACAGTGGGTTTGTGCCAAGGCATATTTAACCTCATATTTATAACAATAAGTAAATATACACGCATTAGGCTTAAAACTATCCATAGAAATATTTGTACTGAATTATGTACTATTTAACTGTACACATGAAACAATGCTTCCACATTATTTCATTTAGTTATGATGAATTGTGAAGCTTCAGATAGATTCTTTTTCATGCTTTATTGTCTTTGGCAGATTTCCAAGGGATTTGCAAACTTTGATCAGTGAAAGACTAGGGATTATCAGAACATTTTGTTCTCCTTTTGCCTTAGTCGTAATAAAAATATCCACATTGTGGCTAGTATTTATTCAGCATTTACTAGGTGTATGGCAGCATGGCACTGTTCTGGATACTTTGCGTTAATTAACCACTAGTCCATAACCACCCTCTGAGGTACAGTCTATTATTACAAGTAGCTGGCCCAAGACCACATGCCGGTGAGGAAACACTAAAGTCACTAAAGTCACACTGTTAGTAAGCAGCAGAACTAGAATTCAGATATTAGCCTGGCTGTAGGTTGTGCTCTTTCGACTCCAATATGCTGTAGAAGTATCAGCAGCAGTGACTCTCCACCTTTCTTTCTGCCCACTTGCGAGGAAGCATTCTCTAATATCACGGGCTCACCACAACAGCGTCTTCTCAAGTAAGAGGGCGAGTCCTGGAGGACTTCTAGAGATGGAGTGGTTTGAAGAATTGTCCTAGCCCTCTCAGCTTCTGCCACCACCACCATAGCAGCTACAGAATTTTTACAATGGAAAGATTTAGGAGAAATGGATGGAAGGCAGGGATTGAAGCTATGTTTGATAGCATTTTACATTTCTCTAAGGAAAATGTCTATTGTCTAAATCAAAGAATGGAAGATGATAGTGAGGAAAGAAAGATAAACCTCCCACCTCAACCACCTTTGTACTGCTACTGGCAACCCTCTCCCCCATCAGGATCATTTGGTAATCATACATTTTATACATAGAGCCATGTTGAGGAAGTAATATGAACTAAAAGTGCAGTGCTCTGCTCATAAAAAATGGTATGAGTTGCGTCATCTTAATGCTGCATAATTTAGCCACACATTGAGCCCCTAAAGCTCTGTGGATCAGGCCGATAACATGGTATGAGCCGTCATCTTTGTCTCCCAAGAAGTGACCCACTTCATCCCCAGGTACCAATTGCTGTAAAAGCACTCAATTACAAATCAGCATTTCCAAGTACATACTCAATCTTCCCCTGCCAGGCCTCAGAATCTCCCTGCCTCTCATCAGTCTCCTCTAGTAAAGAAACAAATGTACTACAATAACCTCCTTGCCGCCCTCCCACCCACACAGGATGCAGTCCCTATCAAGTGAGAAAATATAGTGAGCTATTTTCCAAACTACAGTACAAATAGGCATGTTTTAAGGTGCCAATTTTCTCAACAGTACTTCAATATTTAAAATAAAATATCTAAGAAAGACAAAGAAGTCACTAAGGGTAGAATTTTGAAGGCATCAGCCAGGGAGGTATGGGGGGGGAATCCTCCACCTAAGCCTCTCTGGTGTAACGATTGCAAATATCTACCTGGTGCTTTCCCTTAAGCCCCTAAACTCCTCTGCTTAGCACCTGAGGCCCCCTAGCTGCCTGATTTTAATGGGTTCAGGAAAGATCTGAGGCTTCTCTCCTCTTGTTAAAGAAGACACACTACATTTGAATGGGACAAGTGCCTACATTTTAATAACCAGCCATGTTGAGTTGGGTATTTTACAGATAGAAGATCTGAGGCAGCTGGGTGAGTTTGCAGCTTTTGAGATATTAATTTAGCCACACTTCTTTTAATGTCTTTGTCAATCACTCTGTTTTTCTTAGATGTGAGGTGGGCACAGAGAGCTGGTCTCAGTGCAATGACACACCTGTGAAGTTTGCCCGTTTCCCAGTCACTGGATTGATAGAAGGTCGTTCCTATATATTCAGAGTCCGAGCTGTGAATAAAACCGGAATAGGCCTACCCTCTCGAGTCTCCGAGCCTGTGGCTGCTCTGGACCCCGCTGAGAAAGCTAGACTTAAAAGTAAGCACTTTTTATTTTTTAGGATCTTCCGTAAACCTTTTTAAAGTAACTGTTAAGAATAGGTTGCATTGCAAGGTTATTTCTCTCCCTTCCACTAGAGGGAGACGAGAATAAGAAATCCTTTTCTGATCAGCCAATCCAAGGGGAGGAAAACCCCAGAAAACACTGATTTATCCATTCTCTCAAGGGCTTTATTTTATTTTATTCAGAAACGTTAGTTTTGTTTAACTGAGTTCCAAGCATTGTGTATGGAGTGAAATATGGAAACAAAGAGCCTGAAGAGCATTTTTATTCATGTTATTAGTGCATACCAAATATAGTTTTCTTTCTGACTCAAGGTGAATTGCTTAACCTTGAAGTCCACCTTTAGAGCATTAATATCGCAACACTGTGAGATTCTCTATATCAAGGGAAAACCAGATTTACAACATTATAACTAATCTATATCTGAGTTTTCCTATTAGACAGTCAAAAATAATTTCTTCATATATTTGTCCTCCAAGTCTTAATGTCAAAAATGGTACGTGAATTATGCCCTGCGTTTGTTTCATGAGAACCTGTATGACGCCTCCAATAATAGAGACCATAAAATGACATTATATAATAAGAATTGTTGGGCCTGGCATGGTGGCCCATACCTGTAATCCCAGAACTTTGGAAGGCTGAGGTGGGAGGATCACTTGAGGCCAGGAGTTCAGCCTGAGCAATATAGCTAGACCCCCATCTCTACAAAAAATACAAAAATGTAGCCAGGCTTGGTGGCATGTGCCTGTAGTCCCAGCTGCTCAGAAGGCTGAGGAGGAGGATCGCTTGAGTCCAGGAGTTGGAGGCTGCGGTGAGCTATGATTGCCCCACTGAACTCTAGCCCAGGTGACAGAGCAAGACTCTGTCTACAAAAGAAAAAATTAATTTAAAAAAATTGTCAAATAGTAACATTTCGGTCTATTCCAGACTTTTCAACCTTGGCCCTATTGATATTTTAGGACAGTAATTCTTTGTTGTGAGTGCAGGGAGTTGGAGGGGTGTGTCCTGCATTGGAGCATGCTTAGCAGCACCTGTTGCCTTTGCCCACTAGGCCCCAGTAGTGTCATGAAGACACTGCTGAATGTCCTCTGAGGGGGGCAGAATTACCCTGATTGAGGACCACTGGTCTATGCCATATTCACAGTGTTATTCCTTACCTTAAGCACATGTAGTGGCAGCATAAAAATTTAAGTAAAATAATGTCACCTTTTTCCTGTGACTGTCTCTAATCAGACTCTCTGATTGCTTTCCAGTCACTTTTCACCAACCATCCAACTTCCCTCCCTCTTTCTTAAATTTCTAAATTTGCAAATTCCATCTCATATATTCATTTACTCCTCTTTTATAAATTCCAATCAAAATAAGATTTATTTGAATTGAAAATAAGCCATCTTGTTTATCACCTTTCTGTTTTTATGCAAACTCAGACAAAAAGTCTCCTGGTTAAAGCAAGAGTTGAACAATCTCTCTTTCTGATGTTTCTGGAATCACAGAAATGAATTTCCTCTTTAACTTCATACCAGGCTCATTTATTTTCCTTGCTCAGGGTCTCAACTGATTTTCTTTGTAGATAACACTTTTCAAAGTGGAATGGGGGAAAATTGCTTTCACTGAACTTTGCTGCAAGATCAGCACCCTTGCTCCTTTTTCATCCTCATTGTGACAGATAAAAAACTGCTGCGCTTACAATTGTTCTAGAAATATTTCTCCCAAACACATGCTATCTCTTAAGAAGGGATGAGAGAGATTACATGTTTCAGAAGATCCTTATTGAACAGTCAAATGAGCATAGGTTACTCAGCTTGCTTGTGTAAGTTCAATTTCAGAAATGTCACCTCAGTCAGTCCTGCTATTTGTGTCTTCCCTCTTTTCATCCTGATTGATCTGACTTGAGGTGTAGTCTAGCTTCTAGCAGATTGTGGGTCCCTTGAGGAGAGGGGCTGTGTCCCCCACAATACCCCATATATGTTTGATAAGATGGATTAGGAAAATACATGTCACCTAGTAACAAACTCATTTGTGAGTAATCTGTCCAGCTTGTCAATTTTATCAGTGCAATTGAAACTGTATTTGTGAATGTTTATGATTTTTGTATTTGTCTTTGTTCAGGTCGCCCTTCAGCACCCTGGACTGGACAGATCATTGTCACTGAAGAGGAACCTTCAGGTAAAAACTCTGGTTTCCCCTGTATACTACTGCCAATATTTTGCTGTGTAGTTTAGCTTCTATTGTAGATGGTACAGTGACTATTTAAGATTTTTGGGAAAGAACATTCTAAAATATCTTGAGATCATAATTGTTGGAGAATCATATTTTATTTTTAAAGCTTTATTCAGATGTAATTGTACAGAAAACTACACATATGTAAACTGTACAATTTGATAAATTTTACATGTGTATACACCTATGAAACTATCAGTCATCTGTTTACTGTCATATAGTTTGGATTGTCCACAATTTTAGATAAATGGAATCATACTAATTTTTGTCTAATTTACTTTACTCTGCATAATTATTTTGACATTTATCCATGTTGATTGATGCATGTATCAGTTAATTGCAATTTATTCATCTGAAAGCTTCTGTGAACATTAAGTATTTGCACATAGACATACGCTTTCATTTCTCTTTGATAAATACCAAAGAGTTGAATGGATGGATTACATGGTAGGTGTATATTTAATTTTCAAAGGAATTGCCCACTGTTTTCCAAAATGATTATACCATTTTACATTCCCATCAGCACTGTATGAGAGTACCAGTTACTCCATATTGTCACTAATACTTGATATGGTCAGTCTACATGTTTGGTTTTCTGTTTCAATTGTTCGAAAGAGCTTGTGTGAACGTTTATTTTTCTCTTAAATGTTTTGTAGAATTTACCAGCAGAGCCATCTATGCTTGAAGATTTTTTGTGGGAAGGTTTTATGCTACAAATTCAATTTCTTTAATAAATTTGGGGCTATTCAGTTTATTTCCTTTTTGTTGAGTAAGCTTTGATACATTTTGTCTTTCAAGGAATTCATTTATTCATAAAGTTAATATTTTCTTATTATCCTTTTACTATCTGTAGAATTTGTAGTGATGTCCCTGCTCTCATTCCTGATATTTGTGTCTCATCTCTTTTTGTCCTGACTGATCTGACTAGAGGTTTATCAATTTTATTGATATTTTCAAAGACACAGCTTTTGCTTCCATTGATTTTCTGTATTGTTTTTCTGTTTCAAATTTTATTTGTTTCTGTTCTTATCTTTATTATTTCATTTCTTCTGCTTATTTGAGTATAATTTATTTACTGATCTTTTTCTAGTTTCTGAAGGTAGAAGCTGAGGTCATTAAGATCTTTCTTCTTTTATAATGTAGGCATGTAATGCTATAAATTTTCTTCCAATTACTCTGTTAGCTATATCTCACACTTTGTGATCTATTTTACTTTCATTTTTATTTTGTTTAAAATACTTTCCAGTTTCTTTTAATATCTTCTTTGATACATGGGTTATTTGAAGTGTGCTATTTAGTTAGTGTGCTATTTAGTTGTTAAATATTTGAAGATTTCCCAGATATCTTTCTCTTATTGGTTTCTAATTTAATTCTACTATAGGAATTAAGTAGAACATACTAACATTTTGTATGACCCAAATCCTTTTAGAATTACTAAAACTTGTTTTATGGCACAGAGAAAATGTCTATCTTGGTAAATATTCAGTGTGCACTTGAAAAGCACTGTATTCTGCTATTGTTAAGTTCTATAAATGTTAATTAGGTCAAGTTAGTTGACAGCATTGTTCAAGTCTTTTGCATCCTTAATGATTTTCTATCTACTTGTTCTATGAATTATTGAGAGAGTGGGGATAAAATATATAATTAATGGTGGATTTATCTATTTCTTGCAGTTCTACCAAATTTTGTCTCATGTATTTTGAGATCTATCATTAGAGGCATTAACATTTTTATTGTCATACCCTCTTAGGAATTGACTGCTTTATTATTGTAAAATGATTCCTTTTATCCATGGTAATGTTTTTGCTTGGAAATCTACATTGATTTTAATACAACTACTCCAGCTTTCTTTTGATTAGTGTTAGCATGGCATATTATTTTCATCCTTTTACTTTTATCCTAGGTATGTCTTTATATTTAAACAGTTTTTCTTATAGGCAGCATATCATTGAGTCTTGTTTTTTTATCCAATTTGATACTCTTTGCCTTTTAACTGTGTGTTTTAACCATTTACATTACATTTCATGTGATTGTTGGTATAGTTTATTTAAATCTATAATGTTGCTATTTGTTTTCTATCTAGCACATCCATTTGTTTCCTTTTTTCTTTTTTTTTTTTTACTTTCTATTGGATTGAGTATTTTTTATTTTTCAATTTTATATGTGTTATCCCATTGGCTATAATTCTTTGTTTTGCTTTTTATTTGTTTAGAATTTGTAAACATTGCATCTTTTTACAGTCTACCTTCAAGTAATATTATGTTACTTCATGTGTAATATAAGAACTGACAACAGTTTCCCCCTCTTAGCCTTGGTGCTATGATTGTTATACATTTTATTCATATATATAAAATAAGCTACACAATACAATGTTATTATTTTGACTGTAGTATTGTATCTTAGAAATTTAAAAAGAAAAATGTTTGTAATATTTACTCATATTTTTACCATTGCTATTGTTTTTCATTTCTTTGTGTAGATCCATATTTCCATCTGATATGACTTTCTTTCCACCTGAAGTACTTTCTTTAACACTTCTTGTATGGCAGTTCTGCTGGTTAAGACTTATTTTATCTTTTGTATGTGTGAAAAACTTTCTATTTCACCTTCATTTTTTAAATATATCTTCACTGAGTATAGAATTCTAGGTTGACAGGTTTTTCTTTCAGTGCTTTAAGAACTTGGTACATCATAATTCAGACCTGCACTATGAGAACAACTGCTTGTCATTCTTATCTTTATTCCTTGATGTGTGATGTGTCTTTTTTTCTGTATCTGCTTTTAAGATATTCTCTTAATCGCTGGTTTTAAAACTTGATTATGATATGTGCATTTGTGTAGGTTGTTTTCATATATTTGTGCTTAGGGTTTGCAAATTTCTCTGATCTGTGGGTTTGCAGTTTTCCTACAGATTTGGAAAATTTTTATCATTATTTCTTTAAATATTTTTCCTGTACCTCCCTCATTCTCTGCGCCCCTCCCCCCAAGTCTATATTTTACATAATCCTGTACCTACCTCTCTTCTCTACTTTAGAACTTCAACTACAGGCCACTTGAAACCACTTGAAATCATCCCAAACTCGCTGATGTTTGTGTTCATTTTCCCTTTCAGTCTTTTTTCTTTCTGCGTTTCATTTTGGATTGTTTCTATTGCTGTTACTAAGTTTACTAACCTTTCCCTCTTCAGTGTCTCACCTGCTGTGAATTGCAGCCAGTGTTTTTTGTTTGTTTGTTTTGTGACAGGGTCTCATTCTGTTGCCCTAGACTGGAGTGCAATGGCACCATCATAGCTCACTGCAGACTTGAACTCCTGTGCTCAAGTGATCCTCCTGCCTCAGCTTCCCAAAGTATTGGGATTACAGGTGTGAGCCCTCACACCCAGCCTAGCCAATGTATTTTTCATCTTAGACTTTGTAATTTTAATATCTAAAAGTTCAGTTTGGATCATTTTTATATTGTCCATGTCTTTAACATATTCAGTCTTTATCCTCTTGAACATATGGAACATATTTATAACTGTTTTTATGTTTTTGTCTACTAATTCTTATTCAGTAATTCACAGATGATGCTACTACCATTTGTAGCATTTTAGGTTGTGTTTCTGTTGATCGATTTTTCTCCTCATGATGTGTTGTGTTTTCCTGCTTCTTTACATACTTGGTAGCTGTTATTAGATGCCAGACATTTGAGTTTACATTGTTTGGTGCTAGATATTTCTGTATTTCTAGAATACTCTTGACTTTTGATCTGGGAGAATAATTTGATCCTGTCAAGGCTTGCTTTTGTTAGGCAGCAGGGAGTGCAACCAGTGCACAGGGAGCTAGAAAGAGAGAGAGAGGACCTGTGAGACTTGATTTTTATTAAGGCCTTGGTTGTTATTCCCTAGGCTTTCCCAAGCTTTTCCTTAGGCTTAGTCAATGGTTTGTGGATTGACTAGTTTACAGAAAACACACATAAAGGAGGAACTTGTTTACATGACTCTGGTGTTGACCACCATGTTTTATCATGTTTAGCACCTGAGAGGCATATTGGTTTTTGGGTCAGTGGGATGAGGAAGAACCAGGCCACATCGCATACAACTGCATAGAAAGGGGAAGTTTTAAGTAGGCCAAAGGTGACCAGGTACAACTGGGTTCCAAATAACTTATGTCAGACCTAAAAATAAATACTGAGGCAGCAACTATGTTAAGCAAATTTATGACACACATTTAGCAAATAAAAATATAGGGTACACCCTCTATCCTATCTGACAACCTTAGCTGGGTAACCTTAGCTGGGTATAAAAATAAAAGTTCTGAGGCGAGGTCAGAAATATTAGGGCAAAAGCAAGGACAGACTTCCAGAAGCACCTAGATCCTAGAAGTCCCGGGGCATCTAGCATTTAGGGCCAAATGAACCCTCTGCAAACAGGGTTTAACCTAGCTCAGAGATGAAACCAACATGGAACACAGATTCCTATGAGCATATAGGCAGGAGCCAAGGTTGTAGTGGAGTTGGGCATACAATTATAGTTACAGCAAAGCTGCTCTTAGCAAGCAGGGAGTGAGGAAATTCAGAATACATAGATGTCAGAGGTCAGGGTAGACTAAGTGACTCAAGGCCAGAGGGTAGAACAGAAATATAAACTCTACTAAAAACTAAAGGGCACACCAAGGGAGTCAGGAGAATACACTGAAAGTATCAGTACCAATAAAGAAATGACAAATATTTGCTTCATCTAGGAAGCTTTTCAAATGCTTTCCTACTAAAAATGGGAGTAAATCATAAGATAGAACCAAATAGCATCACATTATTTCACCACATCTGGTAGACTTTGACACAGAAATCAAATCCTATCACCTCATGATACATTCTTGACCTCATTGTTCTCTTCTTCATGTCCTTTAGCACATGAGCACACACTGCCCTGTGCTACTCAACTTCTTGTTTTACCAACTTAGTTGTAAACCAGTCAAAGATAAGAACAGCATTCCAGGTTCCTTAGCTCTGTATTCTAAATGCTCAATGCCATTTAAATGATTGAATGAGTGATGAATGAATGATTGAATGAGTGATGAATGAATGATGTTTAGGGAGAATTCTAGAGACAACATACTTCGTTATACTGCAGAGCCATAATTACTCTTCCTCCAGGAGGAGAGAAGCATCTCACAGCTCTCTGAGTATCTTGGGCTACTTGGAATGTGTGCTCCTCATTTTCTTTGTTGTTTTTCAGAGGGTATTGTTCCTGGGCCCCCCACAGACCTCTCTGTCACTGAGGCTACTCGGAGCTATGTGGTGCTCAGCTGGAAGCCTCCTGGCCAACGTGGCCATGAGGGCATTATGTACTTTGTTGAGAAGGTAAGACTCCAGAATCAATGCTACCTCATGCCACTTCCTATAAAGATTTCTTTTAAAAAGTAGAGATTAAATTTCCAGAGGCAAGTGGAGTGAGGGAGGAGGTGGGAGGATGTCCTGAACTCTTTTAAGTCCATATAAACTGTGAATTCTCTCCATAGAAAAATGTATATCACACAGAATTCTGCCTTAAAGTCAGGGGGGTTATGGACCCCCAAGACTCACCCATAGACTCCTAAAAGTCTAATCCACAGACCCAAAATCATAACCCCTATAAGAAGAGCAATGTTTCTGAAATGGTAGATTGTCCATATGGTAATGTTTTCTAGGGACTTTCTTGTCTCCCTTGCTGTGGTAATGGTTTTTCATCTCTCTGCCGCTTGTCCTTCTGTAGTAAGGCATGAACATCAATGAGGCTAGATGGGAGAGAGGAAAGGAGAAGTCAAAAACAGCAAGCCCTAGGCTGCTGTGCTTCCCTCAAATATCTTACAATTATGGTGGGGATACATTAGAAAGAATATTAGAGAGGACAGCATACAATGAAGGCCTAGAATGGGTGGAATGGATGAGAATTATATGTACCTTAATCATATACCCATATTTGATGGGAGTTATGATAAGCATTAATGTCCAGAAAATTGAGACGAACCCCAACCTGGACAGGACGTTATTTGGGGGAACTGACCCAGCCACAAATGCAGAAACAGAAGAGCCTGCCAGGCAAGGCACAGATCTAAGGGGCACTGGAAGTCCTTGGCTAACAGGATTCTGGCTACTGGAAAAAGCACGTTCAAAGAGAATTTGCATAAAATGAGGTTCAAAATCCATTTGTTAAGAAAGTTTTTATTGGGATATAATTGTGAAAATGAAACAAGTTTATTTTATCCTATATGTAAGAGCATTTATATTTTTATTGGTAACAATGCACCATTTTTTAGAACAATAAATGAAATAAGTGTTCGTACTTTTAAATTTTACTTTTATGAAATTGTGTGATAGCATGAAAAGGTATCATTTACTTTACATTTTACTTTCATAGCAAAATCATAGCAAGGATGTTTTTTACAGAAATATGGAGCTCAATTAATTTTCCTTAATAGTATCCTTAATACTATTCTGATCATTCATTCAATTATAAAACACCTATTAGGTCATCTTCCCTGACAATTATAGATAGATTTCATAAGTATATAGGTGTATGCAATCATCTGCAAATTAGGTAACAACATAAAGACAATATGCAGAACTCTTTGAGCTGCATTCCTCACTTCCTTCTTATGCCTAGCAAACGATAAATGCATCATCTCTTTAACATGCAATATGGACATCTTCCAAGAGAGTCTGGAGGTATGAAAATAATACTAAAACTTTACATTTTTATTGTTATATTTTCTAGATATTAGCCTCAAATAAAATATAATGAGTAGCATTCTAAGCTTTAAAAAAAACAGAGGATAAGAATAGAGTGATAGATAAATGTTCCCTTCCTGGTATGTTTAATACATACCCCCCACTAAATCTCTTAAACACTCCACAGGAAGAGGTTCTAAATAACTTTTGTGATAGTAATTGCCATCTTTCCTATAATAGTGACATGTAACAACCTACTTCGGAGGCATTTTCTTCAGATGAGTCAACTTTGGCTTCTGTTGAACGTATCCCCTGGTTGCATAAACTCTAATTTCTCCATAAAAGTCTATAACCTCTCTAGACCTAACTACGTATGAGTCGGTGATTAAAAATTTAAATATTCTTCTACCTGCACACCTATTCATATGGAATCCTTTTGTCCTGACTGGGATGTTCACGAGCACAGCATTGAGCAGGGAGGCCTGTACAGAGCACAGAACACCCAGGATGTTGAGGTATTGGGATGCACAACACGTCCAGAGACCTGGGCTACATTTTACAGAACCACCCAAATGTCAAACTACTCTGAGCTGAGTCTAAAATTATTTCTGATGAACTACTTCTGTTACGTTGATCTTTCTCAAGAGAAATGGTTCAGCTGCTCTTGTCCCGTGGTGTGTTTCTGTCCCCAGGATGTTCATGTGTCCGGCAGTGCTGCCGCTTAGGCTACCCCTGTGGTTGTTCCTCCTTACAGCATGTCTGTGAGCCCCTGAGATGGGCGGAACTGAGGCTTATTAGCAAGGAAATCAGATGAATCAGACTTTGGCACTCCCAGCCTCCCTATCCTACTGTGTTCTTTTCAGCCCCCAACTTTTCCTCAGGTGTCTATGTCTTAAGTTCTTTTTCTCACTCCCCTCCAAAAATGTGGTCATGTCAGAGACAATGACGGAATCACATGCTGACAGCGGGAATGTAAATAGCATTGTTGTAAGCAGTCCTTTCGTGTTAACCCACTTAATTCTTGCAGTAACCCTATGAGATAAATACTTTTATTTTCATCATACCTATTTTGTAAGTGAGGAAACTGAGGCATCAATGGGATATATAATTTATCTAAGGTCACCCAGCTAGTACGAAGCAGAGCTAGGATTTGAACCCAGGCAGTCTGGTGCAGGTCCATAAATCCAGCTGTTACGTTGGGCTGCCTTTCAGTCTTCCCAAGCCTAAGTTTTCTGCGGACAACTTTGATAATCACACAATACCACCTCCATAATACCTACTTCATAGCATAGTTGAGCAGATTAAAAAGTTGTAATGTCTTATAGAGTTCTTAGCACAGTGAAAGGCAGATGTTATTTTTATTATGAAAATATAAATGACTGATAATTGTTTAAGTATTCCCTGGGGGCTGTGGGGGGAATATGTCCAAATGAATCAAAGCCATAAACGAAAGGATTAAAGGTCCCTCAGTGGGGAGCAGATTGTGCTACTTCTCCCTACTCACACACAGTGACCCTTTATCCTAAGAGACACTGCGAGGAACTTGAGAGATTACCTTGTTGAATTTGCTCATTTTTCAGATGATAAAACTGAGACCAAGAGTATTCATGTGACTCCTCAAAGTTATGCAGCTTGTTAGTAACACAGCTGGGACCACGTCCCTACCTCTGTGACATGTCACCTCCCACTTCAAGTCAATGGAATATAAGCTGAGTGATGTACTAGTAAACTTCAGTCCCCAAAATGTATAATCGAGATAGCTGGCAGTCTGTCACAAAATTTGGATTCCTATAAAAGTCTTTCAAAACAGTTAAAAAGTTTGGTAGCAAAATCAGGCAAAAGTATCTAAATTTCTGCTTCTGCTGGCCTTGGGCAGAATTGGAAGTTAGAATAGAAGGGCAAAGGATGGCTGAAGACATTTTCTGACAGTTTTCTTACTATATCCTCTGCCAAAGCTCAAATATACACCACATCCTTATATTCAAGGATTTACAAGTCACTCTATATCATTTTAATTTTAAGAATAGAACCTTTTAAAATTAGTTTTCCCATTAATTATTCTAAAATTTGGGACAAAAAAAGACATCTTTCTAAAATCTGTTTTTTATTGATACATAGTAATTATACATATTTTGGGGTACATGTAATATTTTCACACATATGTACAATGTGTAATGATCAAATTAGGGCAACTAGGATATCTATCACTTCAAACATTTATCATTTCTTTGTGTTGAGAACATCCCAAGTCTTCTTTTCTAGCTATTTCAAAATATACAATAAATTATTGATAACTATAGTCACCCTAATGTGCTATCAAACACTAGAACATATTCCTTCTATCTAACTGTATGTTTGTACCCATTATCCAACCTTTCTTCCTTCCCCCACCCCCTTCTTAGCTTCTGGTAACTGTCATTCTACTCTCTACTTCCATGAGATCAACTTTGTTAGCCCCCACATATGAGTGGGAACATGCTACTGGCTTATTTCACTTAACATGATGACCTCTAGTTCTATCTGTGTTGCTGAAAATAACAAGGATTTTGTTCATGGCTGAATAATATTCCATTGTGTACATGTACCAAATTTTCTTTATCCATTTCTTCACTGATGGACGCTTAGGTTGATTCCAAGTCTTGGCTCTTATGAATAGTGCTAAAATAAACATGGGAGTACAGATATCTCTTTAACATACTGATTTTCTTTCTTTTGGGTATGTACCCAACAGTGTGATGACTGGATCATATGATAGGAGAACATCTTTATCTTTCATTCATTCATCCAGAAAAAGAAGTAGTTGATTATCTACTATGTGCCAGATACAATTCTAGGCTCTGGGGTAAAGTGGTAAACAACACAGCTCCCTGAAGTCATAGAATTTGCTCTTAGGTGAAGGAGATAACAAATAAATAATTTAATTTCAAATAGTAATAAGCATTTTGAAGAAAATCAAAGCAGGGTAAGGGATAAAGAGTGATAAGAAAAGAGCAAAGAACTCTTTTACGTTGGTGATGGGAAGGAGGTGATCAAGAAGGCCTTTTTGAGGAGGTGGTATTTAGCACAGACCTGAAAGATGTTACGAGTCATTCAATAATACTCCATTAAAATAATACAGTTTATAACAATGTAATGGAAATGTTTAAGTATAAAACACAGCACATTAAATTTAATTACTTACCCTAAGAATTAGAAAAATACCTAATCCCAAACTATCCTCCAAATAAAGACTTCTCTAAGCAGATTGATGGACTTACTTAGCTAACAAAGGAAGTGAGGTATTAAAGTAGCATATTTGTCAAACAATACAAAGCCATACTTGATTAGAGAATGCTGTAGACTCCGGATGCCTCATCCCCATCTCCTCCAAATCTCTTCTCTAGTCCAACTTGTGTAAAGGGAGCAGCTTGTTGGCAGGTAACACTTGGAGATGCCTGGCCTAGAGTTCCCATGTGTGCTTGCTGTGCTTTCACTGGGTTTCCCTGTCTTGCTGCAGTGTGAGGCAGGAACAGAAAATTGGCAGCGGGTGAACACAGAGCTCCCAGTGAAGTCTCCCCGCTTTGCTCTGTTCGACTTGGCTGAGGGGAAATCCTACTGTTTCCGCGTCCGCTGTTCTAATTCTGCAGGAGTTGGGGAACCCTCAGAGGCAACAGAGGTGACCATGGTAGGAGACAAGCTTGGTAAGTGTAAAGTTAGGTTAAGCAACTGTAAACCTATTTTACTTCAAGAGAAAATTTCAAAGCAAGAATCTAATTAGTAGAAATATACAGACATATATAGTATGCATATTTGTATAGTCATATGCATATATATTATCAGAAGTAAAAATGCTGACATCCTTTTTACATTTCATAAATTTAACACATTGCTACAGTAGAAAAAAATTTTTCCTTGGGGCCATAGTGTTTTATTACAAAACTAGAATAAAAACTTTGAAAACAAAACGACCCTTTCTAATATAATGAAAAATTTAATGAAAAATGAAATGTATTGACTTCTATTCATTTAATCCACACTTTTAGAATTAGTCAGTATTAACTGTAACAATAAGAACATCAGCAAGTAACATTTTCACGAACCAACTGCAAGGTTTTCCCCAGGTTTTGCTTCATGAGGCCCCAGGCTCAAAACTAGCGTGAGTTAAATATAACTCACGTTGCAGTTAATGTGTTAATTGAGGCCTGTACTTGACCTATACATTACAACAAAAACTCATTGTTTTTGCTTCTGAAAAGTAAACTTTTCTGGGAGTTCCAACAATATTGCTAATGGGTTTCTCCCAGATTTCATGGATATTCAGTTTGTCGTTATACTCTCAAATTAACTTTAAAAATTTTTCTGCTTTAACAAATACATTGTGAAATAAAGCAACTGTACATTTGACATGATTACGTGTGTAACGTTTCTATGCATGTGTGTTTGTGCATGTGTGATAAGAATGGATTTTTTAAAACCATCCTGACTTTGATTCCCAATTTCCTCTTTCCCAGATATCCCCAAGGCCCCTGGCAAAATCATCCCGAGCAGAAATACAGATACCTCCGTGGTGGTTACCTGGGAGGAGTCCAGAGATGCTAAAGAGCTGGTCGGGTACTACATAGAGTCGAGCGTCGTCGGCTCTGGCAAGTGGGAGCCCTGCAACAACAACCCCGTGAAGGGCTCACGGTAACTGAACGCGGCGTGGCGGGCCGGCCTGAAGGCCGCAAAGATATCCCGTGGAGAGAGATTTTTAAAAGACACTACATTCCAAATGAATTTCAGATTAAACCTGTCTAATGCAATACATTTGACAAGAAAGGTTTATTTGTGATATTAAAAGCACATAATGTCAGCTGTTGTAAAAGTTCATTTTATAGCTCTTTTCTGATTCTTCTCCTTTATGTTATTTCTTTTTTTTTTTTAATCCCTCTGTTCTGGTCTTTAATATGCAATATGATAATAGAGTCCAAGGATCTAATAGGTCCTACTTAACATAAATTACCCAGGCATTTTAAATGATACAGGAAAAATATACCAACATTTTACAAATTCTGGACATCAACATGATTAAAACCCAGTGCTAAGGAGACATAAATAACACCAAAATAAAGACATTGAGAACTGAGCAAGAGTGAGACCCTACTTCTACAAAAAAAATACAAAAATTTGGACCAGGCATGGTGGCTCACGCCTGTAATCCTAGCACTCTGGGAGGCCACGGCAGGATGATCACTTGAGCTCAGGAGTTCAAAACCAGCCTGAGCAACAGTGAGACCCTGTCTCTACTAAAAATAGAAAAATTAACTGGGCATGGTAGCATGGGCTTCTATTCCCAGCTATTTGGAAGGCTGAGTCATGAGGATCATTTGAGCCTAGGAGTTTGAAGTTGCTATGAGCTGTAATGACACCATTGCACCCTAGCCCCAGCAACAGGGCAAAACCCTATCTAAAAAAAAAAAAAAGGCATTCAGAATACTTTGCCGCCTCTTTGTACCTGTTTCTAATGTGAGGAGGATTAATTTTTTTTCTTGCTTTCAACTATTTTATCAACCAGCTTTGCAAACTGTTGGTGAGTTCTGGCATGCACCTAAACTCTGAGCCTCCTTTGATTTAGGACCAATCCGAGAGGGGGATCTTCCCCCAAGAAATTGTCAAACAGGCTTGTTGGGCAGCCTCTGGCTTGGGCCACTTCTAAGTCCCAGGATCCCCATAGGATGAATTGGTTCTTGTGTAGAACATGAGAGGGTAGAGACAAAATAATTGATGGGAGAAGGCAATATGTTTTGCAAGAGACATATAGCATGTTGGTGCATTTCATTTTGACTCCAACTTCTCTAGCATTTTCCTGGACTGTTTAGAAACATTGGTGGAGTGTAGGCAGAGTCTCCCTCTCTACAAACAGACAGGAGTTGCTGGAGGGCAGGCACCATTTTTTACTCATTTTTGTGTCCATAATACCTAGCTCATTGTGTGGAACACTCAAAGATCAAGAAATATTCCTTGAGCTGAGCAGACCCTAAGGACTGAAGGACTGGCCTGGATTATGGCTGCCTTTATTAAATATTTGAACATGCTAATAGTAATAGAGTCATTAGCAGGCTTGTTATTTCCTCTCGTTACAGTCCTTAGGATGGATTCAGATGTCACAGTGATTCATGAAATAGCTATTTATAGCCATAATAGCTATTAAAGAGAGAGGTGGTTTTAAGGGTGAAACTGCTCATGGATTCACACCTAATTATTGGAGCCTTATATCTAAATGGTAATTCTGGAGTCCATTTTTTTTTTTTACCTTATTTTCAGATTCTAGTATAATTTCTCAAGTAATTGTACTTTCCCTGGCATGCAGGGAGACAGAAACTAGGAGTAACCAACATGGCAGGAGTCTTGTGACAAGGAGCAACAGTGATTTACAGCCATCAGCGAGCGTATACCTGAAACAGCCATTAATAATATTATTAATACTACCTATTATTTATTAAACACCTCCTATATGTCAGGCCCTGTCATGGGTACTTTATATAATTTATAGCTACTCTCTGAATGAAAATTATTATGTAGGGATTATTATCCCCATTTTATTAATGTGTATTCAGGGAAAAACCAGGACTTCTCATTTTTTGGCAGAGGGAGTTTAGAAAATTGCCTTAGTTGCTTCTTGTCTAAAGCACATATGTTACCTGAATCCTTTTTCTTCTTCTTCTTCTTCTTCTTCTTCTTCTTCTTTTTTTAGAAACAGGGTTTCACTCTGTCACCCAGGCTGGAGTGCAGTGGCACAATCATAGCTCAATGCAGCTCAAACTCCCTGGCTCAAGTGATCCTCCTGCCTCAGCCTCCCAATTAGTGAGGACTACAGGTGCATGCCACAATGTCTGGCTATTTTTTTCTTTGATTATTTTGTAGAGGATGGGGTCTTGCTATGTTGTCCAGGTTGGTCTCAGATTCCTGGTCTCAAGTGATCCTCCCACCTCAGCTTCCCAAAGTGCTGGGATTACAGGCATGAACCACTGCACCCAGCATTCTTTTTAAAAAATGAATTGTTTTCATAAACCCAGGTCACTTAGTTAAGCTAACAATCATCTTCCCTAATTTTCCTCCTAAGAAAGCTTTTTAAAATTTTTTTCCTTTTAGGTTTACTTGTCATGGATTGGTGACTGGTCAGAGTTATATTTTCCGGGTCAGAGCAGTCAATGCAGCTGGACTTAGTGAATATTCCCAGGATTCAGAAGCTATTGAAGTCAAAGCTGCTATTGGTAAGTTCCTAATGTATAACTTTGTAGGGGAAATGACTTTTCCTAAATTATAAAGGAAGATATATTCCTTTCCAGAAATTTTCTAAAGCTTCTAATGTTGCTCAATGATTCCATCCTTAGATGATCATTTTTCTGACTCTAGGTGACATCTAACCTTCCATAGCTGTCATTTTACAGATCTTCATCACTTATCCAGATTCTGTGCATCTGTAGTCTTTTCATCTTCACAAGCCCAAGTTTCCTCAGATTTTTCCCACTGTGTGAAACTCCATTCTAACTTCGTGCTCATCCTGGGACTGTGAAGGGCCATCCCAATCCCATGAAGTGGTATATCACCCCTAACACGGATCATCTCGTACTTATAAGCATTTCATCTAGGCCAGAGCCTGGCTTGTTTTCACTAATAGCCCATTAACATGCTCCTTATAAACTCCTATAAAATTCATGCAAGGCTTAACCATGTTTCATCTCTGCTCGCAAAGTAACTAACAAAATTAAAACAGTAATAAAGTAATTATGTGCATGTATGTGATGTACCTCCCAATCTTGAATAGAGTAGAAAAGGGACCCAGGTAGCTTAGAGAAGTAAAAATAAAATTTGTGATATAGTAACACATATTTTAAAAGAAAAATTATTTAACATTGTCTTCAGTTAGCAACTCATATTGCTTTTTAACATTCCTTATAACATGGACATGTTTGAGGTTGGGAGGTACAGACCATTACTAGTGCAGTAATGTACATAATTCTAACTGTTATATTTCAGGATCTTTAATATTATGCTCTTGTGCACTTTATGGTCCTTTTTTTTTCATGCTGTTGAATAGTAGGGCTTTATCGTTCAAGAAATGTCTCAGATTTGCTTTTTCTTATATATACTAAAAATGCTTTGGGTTCTGCAAATTGAAATGGTTCCTGTTCTATCTGTGTTTTTTTCTCTCTCTCATTTCTCCTTTTTCCAGAATATGGAGAAGTTGAAATGTTTGTTGATGTACATTGTGTGACATGTATGCTTTCCATATTTCTTGCAAGTCCAAGTGATTTCTGTTAAACCAAGACTGTTTTGTTCTGCTTGTGGTCCTAATGTTTTTCTCTTCGTCCTGTCACATAAGAGCAGTTGGTACCATGTCCAGGGCTCAACACGTTTCTGTTGTTGTCTGGCAATTGTAGGGGGAGGAGTGTCTCCAGACGTGTGGCCTGCACTGAGCGATGCTCCTCGTGGACTAACAGCCTCCAGGGGGGGCGTGCATGAAGCCTCTCCACCAACCTTCCAGAAAGATGCTTTACTCGGTAGCAAACCTAACAAACCTTCACTACCCAGTAGCTCCCCAAACCTGGGCCAAACAGAAGTGAGTAAAGTAAGTGAAACAGTTCAGGAAGAGCTTACCCCACCACCACAGAAAGCAGCTCCTAAGGGGAAAAGTAAGTCTGAACCCCTGAAAAAGAAGAAGGACATAGGTGAGAGTTGAAAAAGTGAAACTGTTCCATCCGTCTCCATCAGTGTCCTCACCTCTCATCGTCTGCGTCACATTCTTCATCTGTGTTCACGTTCATCGGTGTCATTCTTAATTTTATTTGTTTTCAGCTAGTCATTTGAAATAACTTTCATCTAATGAGTTGTAATAGTAATTGTATATGGGTTTGGCTTTTACACATTATTTTGGGGGCTTAAAAATGATAGAATCTTTAATTTGGTTATAAAGCCTTTCTTGGTCTATTAGGCACGCACACCTCTGGGCTCATTTTGCCAAGAGGATTAGGCATAAGAGCAGGAAGGAATTGGTTATCCTAGCCTGTGTTAGATCCTTTGAAATATTCAAGTTCAGTACATAGAGAGGAAAAAGATTTCACAAAGAAGAAATGACATATTACCAGGGTCATGGTTTTTAATTTATTGCTCATCCTCAGGTTTTTCAAGTGATTGTTTGCATTTAGTTTAAATACCTAAAAATAACTCTCTTTAACAGAGATAGTGAAAGCAACGAAGAGTTTAACCTGGTATTATAATCACAGATAGCTATGTCCTATGATGCACGATCAACATTCCCAGCAGTGATTTATTTAAGATTATGTGTCAGTAATCCAAAAATGATCTGATTAGGATTTCTGGTATCTGTGGCTTATATATTCTAAGACACAATGGTTTTTCTTATCAAATAAGAAGGAAATTATGAGCATATGCTGATAAATTTTTAAATGCCTCTCATTCATTCCTTATCTCTGCCCCACTCCAACTTTTGTAAACTCTATTTTTTGACACCTTAATTTGTCCCTTCAACCCAAATAATTGGGATATCATTTGAGACTTTATATTCAACGGTGCTCTGAAATTGAGAGGGGAGGGAGAGAGAAAGTTTTTTTAAATGTAAAGAATAAACGAGGTTGGTGAATGGGAAGAGAGAAACAAATGTATTTTATTTTAAAAGTCTTCATTGTTCTGAGAATCATTTTGATTAAGAATGAGATAGTTCCCTTTATCTCCTATAATCCAAATAATTCAGAAAATTATCTTTGATATTATTGCATATCTAAATGGATTTCTTTCCATCAATCCACCCTCTCTTCATCAAAAACTATAATTTCAGTAGTTGAGTGAAAAGTTGATCAGCAAAGCCACATAAATGAAGGAGAACTTTTGAAAGATTTTCCAAATATTTTTCTGGGTAGGTATTAATAAACACAGTGACAGCTGTATAGTATTTTGTGCTACATGAATAATTTTCCAACATCAGGTTAAAAATAATGCAACAAAAAGTATTATGTACTAAAGAAAGTCACATGGCATATTGTGCCTGTTTTTTAAAAATGTTTTTTAAAGGTAGCATTTAGCTGAGCTCCACAATAAGATTTTTCCTGTGTGTAGACAGAACCTGTATAGCCTTAAATTTTCACAAGGGTAAGTGTACCTAAATGGTGACATGCTAGCCATTTGGAAATATATGGGAATTCTAAATAAGCAAACAGAGGCAGAAATTGATAACACATTCCATTTTCCTCAGGGAACAAATAAAAACAAAACCACATAAAGAAGCAAAAATATATACTTCAAAAAAATATTTATTCTTATGGGAAAAGGAATCTTTTTTTCAGGCTACTGTACCATTGTACTGGGACAGGTTCTTTTCATCTTTGGAATAACAACTGAAGTGCACTTTTTATTGTGTGTCCATTCTTTTCCTCATACACCAAGTCGGATGCTAACTGATCAGCCTAACATTTTAGTTTTATACTGCAAGAGCTAGTGCCCTCATATATGGCACCAATTAAGCAAATTTACATATAGAGTCATAAATGTATTTCTGTCTACTCACAAACTATTCATGTTGCAACAGCGGCACCATCTCCACCCTATGGTATCACTTGTCTTGAAAGTTATCGTGACTCAATGGTTCTTGGATGGAAACAACCAGATAAGACTGGAGGGGCAGAAATTACTGGCTATTATGTGAACTATCGAGAGGTAATTGGTGGTGTGCCAGGAAAATGGAGAGAAGCCAACATCAAGGCTGTCAGCGATGAGGCATACAAGGTGAGCATGTGACTTTCTGTAGTATGGCATGTCCCGTGTACGAGGATACGCTTGCTGCCCACACATGCGCACACCCTCACCTTGTAAAGGATTCATGTTGTCTTTCCAGTGTCCGTTGTTTGCAATAGCATGACTTTTGTGATAAATACAAATAGTTTGGCTAACCAGGCAACATTTATGTATTTTGGCCAGACACAGTGGCTATGCCTGTAATCCTAGCACTCTGGGAGGCCGAGGTGGGAGGATCGCTTTAGCTCAGGAGTTCGAGACCAGCCTGAGCAAGAGTGAGGCCCTGTCTCTACTAAAAACAGAAAAAAATTAGCCGAGCATGATGGTGTGCGCCTGTAGTCCCAGCTACTTAGGAGGCTGAGGCAGGAGGATCTCTTGAGCTCCTTGATCCCAGGAATTTGAGGTTGTTGTGAGCTAGGCTGATGCCACAGTGCTCTAGCCTGGGTGACAGAGCAAGACTCTGTCTCAAAAAAAAAATAATAATAATAATAATTATGTTTTCTGATTCATATACAAAATCATAGTAATTTCATAGAGTATTTACTATAAAATATGTGCTTACTGTGAAAAATAATGTCTTTCAAAGTATCTGTAACCAATATGCTCCTAGTTTCAAGAGTCCCAGAATCCAATGACTCTGGATTTTTAATAGTCAATGTTCAAATTACAGAGGATGTAGGGGCGTAGCCTTGATGGCAGGCACAGCTCTTCACGTGTGAAGTGCCTCCTGTGATAGTGGCTCTGATGGCCACAAAGAGGTGCTTTTTATGTGCTCCCCTCTACACAGGGGCCTCCACTGCTAGGCGCATGTCAGGGGACCCCAGAGGTCTCACTGTAGCCTTAGCTGATGACTTCCTTCTATAGAGCATCACCAGCTAGGCCCAAGGTCCCACTCCCCAACACTCCCAGAGTCCCTTCTCATTACTGTGTGGTATTCCATTATGTAGCCATATCACAAATTATTGATTGCTATTTGGGTATTTTGCATTTTTAGCTACATCAAATAATATAGCTATGAACATTTTTGTACACATCTGCTGTTATATTAGCAAACAAGTTTCTCTAGGTTTTTACCTTAAAATAGAATTGCTGAGTCAGAGGGTCTGTTTATCTTCCACTTCACTAGATAATTCTATACTATTTTCTGAAGAGTATGAGAATTCCCATTGCTCCACATCCTTGCCAACCCTTAGGATATTCACACATTTCCAGTTTTGACAATCTGGGTGTCAAGTGAGTTTGAATCTTTTCCTGTGTATGTAGTCCATTTTGAGATCTTCTTTCATAACATGCCTGCTCAAGGTTTTTGCCCAGTTTTCTAGTGGGTTTCTTATCAACTTGCAAAGTTCTTTATATGTTAGGAATATAAATCCTTTGTGGCTCTGTAAATTGTTAATATCTTCTCCCAGTTAGCAGCTTATTTTTCCTCTCTTTATGATGACTACATTCATTTTAATGTCAAATTTATTGTAGTCAGATTTACTGACATCTGCTTTGTCATTAGTGATTTTTGTGCCTTTTTGAAGACATGCCTTCTCTATTTCAAGATCATGGAAATACTGAATAGATTATACTCTAAAAGTTTTACAGTTTTGTCACTTACAATTCAGTATTTAATTTACCTTTATATTTTTTATATGCTGTAAGGGTCAGAATTAACCTCTGTCTCAGTGGAGACACAGTTGTCCCAGCATCATCTATTGAAAAGTGTGTCCTTTGTGTATTGTTCTGCCAGGCTAGCTGTATCCAGTTTATAAACCCATATAAACCCATATGCATGAGTTTGTTTCTGTGCTTTCTATGCTGTTCCACTGGTCTGTCTACCACTGCTTTAAATATTATAGCTTTATAGTAAATTTGATCATTGGTAGATCAAGGTATCCCAGTTTATTATTCTTTTTTCAGAGCTATTCATAGACCTTTGCATTTTGATATACATTGTAGAATTAGTTTATCAAGTTCTACCAAAAAAACAAGACAAATCAAAAGAAAACACAACAATAAAAAGATTAAAACAAAAACCCATTAGAATTCGGATTGGGATTGCATTGAATCTATAAATAAATTGAGGAATAATTGGTACTTTAAAATAGTGAATCTTCTAACCCAGGTACATGATATTTCTCTCCGTTTATTTTGGTTTTCTTTAAAGCCTATCATCAAAGTTTTATAATTCTGTACAGAGGTTTGCATATCATTTGTCATTTATTTGTAGATACTACATATTTTCAGTGTCATAAATTATATTTTTATATCAGTTTTCATTGCTAGTAAAAATAAATGTGACTAATTTTTATATATTGATTTTTGCATATAATTATTATACTGTTTTTTGCTTAATGTTATTATAATTTTAATGTTTCCTATAAGTTTTTTTAGATTCTCTCTCTATATAGTCATACTATGTGCAAATAATGATAGTTTACTTCTTTATTTCCAAATTTTATATCTTTTACTTAATTTTCTTACCTTATTTTTTACCTAGGGCCTTTAACATAGTGTTGAATAAAAGTAGTGATGTTGGTTATTCTAAAATTGATAATTTGCTTAAAGGAAAAAACTTTCGACATTTCACCATTAAGTACTATATTATGCTTGTTACAGGTGCTTTATAGACATCTATAATCAGAGGAAGTTTCCTTCTAGTCCCAGTTTGTCAACATTTATTAAAATTACCAATTTTTTTCTGAATCTATTAGGATGATCATATTTTTCCCTTTAATTTTTATTTGGTGTATTCTGGTAATTGTTTAATGTTAAGACAATCTTGCATTTCTGGGATAAACCCAACTTGGATATTATGTACATTCTGTTTACATATTCCTGGATTTTTTTTGCTAACAATCATGTAGGATTTCTGCTATGTTCATGAGTGAGATTATCCTGAGACTAAAATTGGTTTGGTACCAATAGCTCACAAGGACAGTACAGAAAAAGAAATTGCAGGATAATTGCACTTTATTAAGATTTAATTCATATATCATAAAATTCACTCATTTAAAATTTTGCTTTATGTATTTTTGAAGTGATATTATGAGATACATATAAAGTGACTATCGCTAATACATTTTACCTTAAAGTCTATTGTCTGTTGTTAGTATAGATACGTAGATTTTCTTTTGGTTGGTTTTGGCATGGTATATAACTTTTCATCCTTTAACTTCCAATCTTTCTATAACTTTATGCTTTGTATATGTCTCTTAAAAATAACATACAGTTGTATTTTAATTTTTCATACCTGACAGTCTTTGTCAGTTAGGAGTATTTAATATTATTACTGATGACTTTAAAAAATCACCTGAATTTTTGCTTTCTTTTTGTCTTTCCTCTTCTATGTTTCCTTTTCTGTCCTTTTTAGATGACTTTTAAATCATTTTTTTTACTTATTCCATTTCCAACCCCTCCACATTATCTTAAAAGCTATAGATTCTGGTTTTCTTTGTATGTTTTTGGTGGTTGAAATTTGAAGTCTGAAAGTTATTCCATTTGTTTTATCCTTGTCTAAGAAACATAAGGGTCTTAGAATGCTTTAACCCTTTACCTCTTCCCAATTTGTATACTATCGTGTATATGTCTGTGTTTTAATTCTTTTTTTAATCCAGACAGCAATATGATTATTGTTTTATAATTCAGTTTACCTACATATTTAGCATTTTGTTTGCTTTTAATTCCTCTTGTTTGACTTTCCATCTATTTTCCTTTTGCTTAAAGTAAATATTTTAGAATTTCCTTTAGAGAAGGTATTCTGAGGATAAAGTCTATTTTTGTTTGTCTGGAAAATAATTTTTCCCCTCATCCTTCGAAAATATTTTTCTAGGTAAAACATTCTATAATGGTAGTTATTTTCTTTCAGTGTTTTGAAGACACAGTTGCGCTATTTTTGCTTGTTGTTGCCACTGACATGTCAACTCTTTAATCTGTTTGCTTATTGGAGGGTAATTTATCTTTTTTCTTACACAGCTTTTAGGATTTTCACAGTATCTTTGTTGCACTACAGTTAAAATATTATGTGTCTAGGTACAGGTTTTTTAAAAATGTATCTGCCTAGAATTTGGGCAGAGGAGAATTTTTCAATCTGGGTTGAATTTTTCAGGAAGATCTTTTTAGAAAATTCTGTATCTCTTAAAATTTTGTTGCTACCCATTCTTTCTTTGTTCTTCTCAAATGCTGATTAGACATGTGTTTGATATTCTCATTCTGTCTTCCATGTCTATGAATCACTTTTAATTGTTTCCTACCTTTGTCACTTTCTGCCTTGTGATCTGTATAATTTCTTCTGACTTTCTGTCAGTTTACAAATTCTTTCTTCTTTTGCATCTGATTTTCTGTTTAACCCCATTATTTTTTTCTTGCTATATTTTCATTTCTTGAAGGTCACATTTTACATACATATGTGTGTGTGTATGTAGATATATATATATATAAATATATTTTTTGTTTTGTTTTGTTTTGTTTTTTTGAGACAGTGTCACTTTGTCAGCCTGGCTAGAGTGCAGTAGGGTCCTCATAACTCACTGCAATCCCAAACTCCTGGTTTCAAACCATCATTCTGCCTCAGTCTCCTGAGGAGCTGGGACTACAAGCATAAGCCATCACGCTGACCGTTGTATGCATTTTTATAGTTGGCTGTCTCCTATCTCCTGAAAACATTTTTTATACCAAATGTATCCTAACATTTCTATTCTGCAAATGTTTTCACATTCATTTTTTTTCTCTCACAACAACCTAATTCCTACTGAGATATATAGAAAATATTAGGCCATTCAGTAAAGAACAGAAACATTATAAGAATTTGAATATTTTGATTCCTAGCTTAGAACTTATTTACTATTCATCTGTAAATACATTAGCTTTTTATTGCTGCATGACAAATTACCATAAATGTTGTGGCTTAAAACAACTCACATTTGTTATATCATAGTGTCCATGAGTCAGGAGCCTGGGCATGACGTAGCTGGGGCCTCTGCTCACAATCTAGGTGTCTGCTGGGCCACATTCTTACCTGGAGTTTGAGTTCCTCTTCCAAGCTCATTCAGGTTATGGACAGAATTTGATTCCTTGCAGCTGTAGGGCTGAGGCCTCAACTCCTAGATGTCACCCTTCTCCAAATGGGAGTGGCTAGGCAATGGCATTTGCTTCTTCAAGGCTATCAGGACAATGTTTCTCTTCGGGAAGGGTCCAAACCCCATTTTAAGAGTTTTTACCTGATTAAGTCAGGCCTATCCTGGGTAATTTCCCTTTTCATTAACCCCAAACCAGCTGATTGGAGACCTTAATTACATCTGTAATATTCCTTCTCCTTTGCCATATGACGTGATACAATCACAGAACTGATGTGTCCGCAGCCATTGGGTTCCAATATGAGTCACAGCACAAAGAAACAAAAAAACAATCACAAGACTGATATTCTAATACCTTTGCCATATTCTATTGGCTACACACAGATCATGTTTTCACCCATACCCAGGAGGAGATTACAAAAGGGTATGACTCACTGAGGGTCACCTGTGGGTGTGTCTGACACAGAAGGTAAATAAAATGTTGAACAACTAGAAAAAAACAAACCTGAAACATTCACTGTCTGTGATGTTGTCAATGTTGCAGATTAGTGACCTGAAGGAAAACATGGTGTATCAGTTCCAAGTGGCAGCCATGAACATCGCTGGGCTGGGTGTGCCCTCAGCAGTAAGCGAGTGCTTCAAATGTGAAGAGTGGACCATTGCTGTCCCAGGTAAATGGGGACATCATGTCCCATCCCTGCAGTTTGGAGTTTCTTCCAACAGCACCCCCAACTTGGAACTAAATTGAAGTATTATACAGTTAACATTTAAAGGAAAAGAATTATTTTGACCCCTCATGTTTACCTAAAATATTTTTATGATAATATTAAATAATAGGCAGCAATGTAAAACCAAGTATAAATTCCTTATGCTTGTGTTCCAAATAAATCCTAAAGCCCCCATAGCTCAGCATCTCACAGAGCAGGATTGGCAAAATCACACAATTTGAGTGCAAATGAGCACTTAAAAGGAATTCTGATCTTTGCTTTTGCTTCTTAAAGGGCATCCAATTCATATCCCACAGCAAAACTTCTCAAAAACTTCCTGCACTCCCTAGTTCTCATGCATTCTCTCACTACTTGGAAGCTGGTTATTTATTGTCCTCACACCCCAAATCTCTCTCAAAACCCAGCCTCCTGGGCATCTCTCTCCTCCATCCTCTCTCCCAGCTCTTTACCATACTACGTATATGAATTTCACATGCCTACCTGGGACTTAAGCCTGGCTTCCCTCACTCGCCTCTCTCCACTTCTCCAGTCCTTTCTCTCTCTCTACACATTTCCCAAACTCTGAATTACAAGAAAGATCATGGAACCAGATAAATAATCTCCTTCAGAGTTTGTCATGGGGGTGGTTGGGTAGGCAGGGAAGAAAATGGGAAGTACAAAGAAAAACCAACCCATACTCAGAACTCTTTATAGAGCTATAAAGCCGAACATACTTAAAAATTGAATACAAACAAATTTACTAAGCCACTAAGATTTAAACTAGCAATATTACTGTATTTGGTGGATTATTTTATTTTGCTTCCAGTGGTACTGACTTTAGAGACCCAAATACTTTGAGTGCCACAAGATGACTAAATTTTCCTATCTGGGTTTTTGATGTTCAACATATTTAACAACTGGTATCACACCACCATGGACTACATTAGAGCCCCAGGCCACACTGGAGCCCCCTGGGTGGACAACAGCCCTACTCCAGTACCCACTTTCCTCTGTTTGAAACCCCATGCCCTTACGAGTGAGCATGCAGCCTTCACTAAGTGAGCTCCCATTGGCATCACTTCTCTGTCCAGTGTGAATAAAAAGATTGTAAATGAAACTCAAGAGAAGTTCAAGTGCTCATTCAACTTCAGCAAATATGAAGAAGCAAACACACTGCCTTTCCTTGCACCTCCTTGAAGCCAGTGCATATTTCCTAAATTATTTCTGCCACTAGCACAAAAGTGGATCTGTTTTCAAATTCTTGCAATTCCTGAATAAGGTGAAATTCGAGTGACCAGAGACTAAGAAATTCTGAGCAGGCCTGTAGAAAAGTTTCAATAGAAAGTGAGGGAGTTGACCAAAAATGTTTCCGGGCGAGTACTCTTGACTTGTAGAAGTAATGAAGGGAGTCCTCCACCCTCCCGACAGCCTGGCTTCTCAGACCCATCCTTGGCTTACTGAGTGGAGTTGGGCAAATCTTACATCAAGTTGCCATCCTTTCATTTGACAGATGAAAACACTGAGACTCAGGTTAAATAATATATGTAAGGTTACAGAAGTAATAAGTGGCAGAATTAAGATTGGAAACTAGGCCCTCCCCCCCTCAGACTAGAGGTGCTAGGCAACAGCATATGCAGGCCCCCCTCTGTAAAGTAGGAATAGTGTCCCTGTTTGGATGGCTCACCGGGTTCTAAGGATGACACAAGATCATGGTCATAAAAGCCCTTTGCAAAATAGAACATGCCACACTAGTATGAGGTATTTGGTGTTAATATTTAAATATGTTTTCATCCCAGACATTGGAAGACAAGGATGACGCATATTTGTAACTGATAATCAAGGTAAAGGGCCAAACAAATATTGAACTTTCAATTGCAAAACACCAAAGCATGGCATGATAGAGTCTGTGCTTGTACAAGTTGGCTTTTAGGCCACTGTGAGTCACTCTGGGTGATTTTTGACTGGTTGTTTAGAAGTCAGTTGTTATTTTTTTTAAAAAGGGGGAAAGGGAAAAATAAAATAAATAAATATATTACCTGCATAGCAGCTGGTGGTCACACCAAGATATGGGCAATTGCTTAGTAGTGTGGACTCTCCTAATAATGTGAACATATTCACATGGGGCACATTCTGGCTTTCTTCCTTCAGAGGGTTATCAAATTACTTGGCTTCTCTGAGTTTTCTGTTAATTATCTTAAGGATGAATGAGATAAATGAATGTAAAAATACTTGGAAGTATTTAGCACTGACTCAGGGACCATAGGGTTGATTATTTTTATGTAGGTAAAAGGTTTTTGTAAACCAATAGCTGCCAGTTGTTTTTACCTATTTGTGGGATATGTACTTTAAGGGAAAGGTTTCCCTCCAATTAGGAGTTATTTCTTTTTCCTTTGAAAGAACTATTATTAAATACTGTCGATAGTCATGCACCATTAAATAGAGTTGCTTTCTGTTTGAGATTGAGGGGAATTTTTAGATTATCACTCAAAAATAATCTGAACTGAATATGCAACTAACTCAAACTGTTCTGATAAAAGGTCCTTAACAACACAAGCCTGAGGACAGTCTGAGGCAAACTTTGGGTCAGCCTCAGAGAGGCACCTTGAGGCGGCCTTACCCACCTATGCCCATGAAGGGACTTAGGTTGATGTACAGCAGTGTGAAAACTTGATATCAAAAGACCACAGAATACCTATTTACATGGGAATGCTAGATTAAAAAAATAAAGGACACCAGTTTCAGATTTAGCCTTCAAACTTTAAATGTGGTTCTAAATTATACATACGCGAGTTTTCTAATCTACATTATGATTTCTATTTATTCATAATTCACTGGCTTCTCCCTGTCTCAGGACCACCACAAGGTCTCAAGTATAGTGAAGTCAGGAAAGACTCCCTGGTTCTCCACTGGAAACCTCCAATCCACTCTGGGCGGACTCCAGTCACTGGTTACTTCGTGGACATGAAGGAGGCCAGTGCCAAAGATGACCAATGGCGAGGACTCAACAAGGCAGCTATTAAAAATATATACCTGAAGGTAAGAGGGTGCTCGTGGTTTTGCAACACCCTTTTTTCCTTTAAAAGGGAAGAAAGCTCTATCAATCATATTAACTTTAAAGTTAGCAAGATAAAACATATCTCTGCTTGGGTCTGTTTCATCTTTGGGCTTCCAGTAAGATTCCATTTAATAGTGGTTGGGATTGGAGAAAGTCTGAGTTTCTGAGGCTTGAAATAGTTTACTTATGTTTAGTCTGAATTCCTTAGCCTGGCTTTGAAAAACACCCAGCAGCTCTTCCCTCCTTGCCACAACTTACCCCCCTCACACTTTTGTTACAGTCTTAAAACATTACTGCTTACCATCCTCAAAAGGTGACTTTTTATTCATATCTCTGATTATTTTTGAGGGTGCTCCTTTTACAGCGTTCACACCAGTAAGCCTGTAACTGCTGATTCTGCGAGACATGCCCTGTGTCACTTCACCTGCTCCAGCTTGTGCTTGCATTAGTGGAGCCGGCCTTTGTCCTCATCCTTATCTGTGTCACTGCCTTCCAGATTCCTCTAGAGTGTGCTAACTGACCCGGTTCCCAACTCTGTCTACCAAAGACTGTTCCTCTGTAGCCACTGAATCTCTCACTTATATCAAATGAAAATTTGAAAAGAATGCTTTCCCCTATTGTTAACAGTGGCACCTGGAGCTGCCAAATCCACACTAGGACCTCAGAAACCATGAGGAATACCATTCTATTACTTATTCCTACCATTCCATTACTGCATTCCTACAGCCCTGTCTGTTGGCAGAATAGGGTGGGCCTTGGAAGATACTCAAAATATACCTGTTCTGAAAGCTCACTCCCATCGACCTGCTGTCATGGACTAGGTCCATGCCACCTGTCAGCCACTCTCTGGCGTTAAGGCATTTATAGTTACTCTGAACAATTTAAATATATCCTCTAGGAGAGACGATCCATAAATCATTACAAACCACATGCCATTAACTCAACTTAGCATATGCCAATCAGACCTCCAGACCCTTACTGAGGAAATAAGAAAGGCCATCTTTTCTATGAGGAGGAGAATAAATCAGGGAAGGGTTGGAGCCTAGGATGCCATTTGGTTGTCCAGATGAGTTCAGAGGCCTCTAGATTCAAAGAAACCCCCAAATAACAGTGTAAAATCCTGGATGGTGGTGGTGGGGTATGCGGGATGAAGATTTCCAAGTCCTCAATCTGCCACCACACAGGATGCCAAGGGCCTGAGGTTGGACCTGACTCAGGTGACACAAACAAAGGTCAGATGTCAAGTAAAGGAGACCAACAACCCAGAAAAAATAAGAGTTTCAACACCTCGAAGAGTGGCTAATGTCACTCATTTAGGAAAAGAAAAAGAAGAAAGGCAAATTTAGGGAGGAGAGAGAGAGACACTGAGGCTGTATATACCTAACGAGCCTGGAAGTGAACTTCCATAAGGAAATGATCTTCTTGTATATCAACAGCTTTTAAAGTAACAATAGAATTTTTTATTTTTCTGATTATAAAACTAACACATGCTCTGATGAAAAGTTCAAACAATGAAAGCATAAAGAAGAAAGTAAAAATGTCCTCCAATTCCCATACCTATTTTGGTATGTATTCATTCTTCCCTATGTTTTTTATCCAAAATATGTTAAAGCATATAATAGGAAAAAATTTACATATTAGGAAGTACAGTATGATACACTTCAGTGAGGAAAGGAGATAGAGCTCACAAATAGGGAACTGTAACACAGGTGCAGCTGGAACATAATGGGCTAACACCCACATTCATTCCAGGGTAGGCGTTCCTAAAAACAATGAAAGATGCATTACTTTCATCCAGAAGGATTTAACCAAACATAGTTCACACTTCCTAATTTTCCTTTTTTATTGGTAATTACAACCCCATGAGACAAGGTGGTGAGAAAGGGAGTAATTGGAAGGGGTAGAGGACCTGGGTGGTGGAGGCAAAGGAATGCAGTTCCCTCAGAAATTATAGGGAAGGAAAAAAATCCAAGAAAAGGAAAACAGATATGCATCAGTTATCTAGATTACATATTTGTGGTGCTGTTGAGGCCAGTGGTCATTGCCCCCATGGTGATGGAAGAGTGGAGGGTTGCTGCTGTCATCCTGGTGACTAGACTCTAGAATAAGAATATACTTCCAATACATGTTACAGTCTGACTCACAGATTCACGTGACCTAAATGACAAGTGCAGATGTGTCAGGCACCTGGCTATTGGTCTATTTTTATCACAATAAGGAAATATTTCTGTTTCTTTCTGGAAAGCCACAGTTTCCTGGCATTATTTCTAAACATTGCGTTTAAATATGTTAAACTCTATGCATTTAGCCTGCGATTAAATTCAAGTTCATTTACAGATTAAAATTCATTTCAAAAATCCATTAGCTCCAAGGAAAGCTATCACTACAAAAATAGTGCCATTCTATTGTTATAAATACAATACAATTAAATAATTAGATTAAAAACATAACAATTTAATGCATAGCTCATTTAAATACATGGTCACAAACACTTCACTTAATGAAATAAATTTATTCTAGCATTGTTTGATTTAAATCACATTTTTTATATTGATGTCCATTGCAATGTTTTAGGCATAAAAAATTATGCCCTCTGTATGTAACAAATTCCTTCCTTTTTTTTTTTTTTTTTCTTTTTTTTGAGGCAGAGTCTTGCTCTGTCATCCTGGCTAGAGTGCAGTTGCATTATCATAGTTCACTACAATCTAAAGCTTCTGGGCTCAAGAGATCCTCCTGCATGCACCACCACACCCGGCTAATTTTGTCTACTTCTTTTTTTAGTAGAGACAGGATCTCACTCTGGCTCAGGCTGGTCTCGACTCCTGAGCTCAAGTAATCCTCCTGCCTTGGCCTCCTAGAGTGCTAGGATTACAGGCGTGAGCCACCACACCTGGCCAACAAATTCCTTCTTAATATATAATATGGCTTTTAAAAGTCACATGTTTTAAAAATAAAAAGATAATTTTAAATAAAATATTAATAATATTGATAAGATGAGAGTATGCAGAACCCAAAGAAATTGTTACAAAAATTATGAGTGGGATTGTTATACAAAAATAGATTATAAAATTTTTTAACAACTCTTTGTAATGCTAAGTTAGTGTTACATGTGTATTGGGTTCTCAGCAAGTATCTTTTTTTTTTTTAATTTCGGCATATTATGAGGGTACAGATTTTAAGGTTTCAATAAATGCCCATTCCTCCCCTCCCCCCACAAGTCTGAGTCTCCAGCATGACCATCCCCCAGATGGTGCATATCTCACTCATTATATATGTATATACCTGCCCCCCACCCCCCTCCCACCTGCCCAATACCCTATTACTGTAGTACCTATGTGTCCACTTAGGTGCTGCTCAGTTAATACCAATTTGCTGGTGAGTATATGTGGTGTTTGTTTTTCCATTCTTAGGAAACTTCACTTAATAGTATGGGTTCCAGCTCTAACCAGAAAATATAAGATGTGCTACATCACCGTTGTTTCTTAGAGCTGAATAGTACTCCATAGTATACATATACCACATTTTATTAATCCATTCTTGGATTGATGGGCACTTGGGCTGTTTCCACAGCCTTGCAATTATGAATTGTGCTGCTATAAACATTCGAGTGCAGGTGTCTTTTTTGTAGAGTGTCATTGGATCTTTTGGGTAGATGCCCAGCAATGGGATTACTGGATCAAATGGTAGATTCACTTGTATCACTTTAAGGTATCTCCATATTGCTTTCCACAGAGGTTGAATTAGTTTGCACTCCCACCAGCAGTGTAGGAGTGTTCCTCTCTCTCTGTATCCACGCCAGCATTTATTGTTTGGAGAATTTGATAAAGGCCATTCTCACTGGAGTTAAGTGATATCTCATTGTGGTTTTGATTTGCATTTCCCTGATGATTAGAGATGTTGATCAGCAAACATCTTGATTATTAACAACTTGAGTATTTAGAATTTTAATATACTTGGATTACTCATAAATTACTTAAATTCACAATTATTTTAATTTCATGTCTGTTTAGTGAGAAATACCTTTATTAAATTTACAGGGATAACTTTTTTTTTTCTAGTGCTTTAAATGCTGTTAAGCAAATGGAAAATGTTTGTGATCCATGCTTTTAATTCTCTCTTGCCAAGAATTTCATCTGAAATTATTCATGGAATATCTCAAAAGGATCAGGGGTTGGGAGGAAAGGCAACATATATGCTATAGTGAGCACTTTGTATTTTTTTTTTTTTTTTTTTGAGACAGAGTCTCGCTTTGTTGCCCAGGCTAGAGTGAGTGCCGTGGTGTCAGCCTAGCTCACAGCAACCTCAAACTCCTGGGCTCAAGCTATCCTACTGCCTCAGCCTCCCAAGTAGCTGGGACTACAGGCATGTGCCACCATGCCCGGCTAATTTTTTTTTCTCTATATATTAGTTGGCCAATTAATTTCTTCCTATTTAGAGTAGAAATGGGGTCTCACTCTTGCTCAGGTTAGTTTCGAGCTCCTGGACTCAAACAATCCGCCTGCCTCGGCCTCCCAGAGAACTAGGATTACAGGCGTGAGCCACCACGCCCGGCCTGTATTATTTTTTCTTTTTTTTTTGAGACAGTGTCTCGCTCTGTCTCCCCAGCCTAGAGTGCAGTGGCATCATCACAACTTATATCAACCTCAAACTCATGGGTTCAAGCAATCCTCCTGCCTCAGCCTCGGAGTAGCTGGGACTATAGGCACATGCCACCACACCTGGCTAATTTTCTATTTTTCATAGAGACGGGGTCTCAGTGTTGCTCAGGCTGGCTTTGAAATCCTGACCGCAAGCAATCCTCCCCCTTCAGCCTCCCAGAGTGGTAGGATTACAGGTGTGAGCCACTACACCCAGCCTATTTTGTCTTTTTGACCAAAGAATAAGGTGGCTAATTCATTTAAAGGATACATATATTAGTCTCTGTTTCTAATGTTGGTAGCTATTAAATTATATGAAAAGGAGAGAACATCAGAGTTGAAATGGATCTTGGAAACTCCTCATCTACTTACAGTGGTCCAGAGAGAAGAAAGTCTAAAACTAAAGTCACCTCTGAGTCTTTGACAAAATCAAGTCTAGAATACAAGTCCTTGCACCCTTCGTGCTAGGTGACTAAATCACTGTTACAGAGGAAGGGCACATCTGTTTAAATGACATAAATTGCCCATTGCTTCTACACCTGCTTCTTTCAGGTGCGAGGTCTGAAGGAGAGTGTCAGCTACGTGTTCCGCGTCCGAGCCATAAACCAGGCAGGAGTCGGGAAGCCATCTGACCTCGCTGGCCCTGTTGTGGCAGAGACCCATCCAGGTGGGCTTTTACTTTTTCATTAAAATTAATCTCTTCTGTGTAAGATACAAAAATAATGTTCAACCTAACTTTCTGTACTTTTCCTAATTTTCAAAATCATCAACATGTGCTATCCAAATATAATTGATAAGTAATGACCTTAGGACATGACAATCGCTGATCTCATCATAGGACAGGGATGAGCCAGGTCTGAGTGGTCCGGGGGTTATTCTGATTCATACCTAAAAACAGGGACGTTCTTCATCAAGTTATGCTTCCTGGACCAACTATTCTAAGAATACATTCCTGGGACATCGTTGCTTTTCTCTCTCTTTTTTTTTTTTTACTTTTTTATACAATTTTATTTTATTATTTTTTTGAGACAGAGTCTTGCTCTATTTCCTGGGTAGAATGCAGTGGCATCATCATAGCTCACAGCAACCTCAAACTCCTGGGCTCAGATAATTCTCTTACCTCAGCTTCCTGAGTAGCTGAGACTACAGGTGTGCACTACAATGTTCAATTAATTTTTCTATTTTTAGTAGAGATGGGGTCTTGCTCTTGCTCAGGCTCGTCTTGAACTCCTGAGCTCAAGTGATCCTCCTGCTTCAGCCTCCCAGAGTGCTAGGATTATAGATGTGAGCCACTGCACCCAGCCACATTCCTGGGACATTGTTTCTATTATGGCTTAGGCATTAATTAAATGTCACAAGAATATTTTCCCAATCATAGGCAGAGCTGGAACAGCTCAGTTTGCAGGCACAATCCTTAAACAAAAGTAGGATTTATGTAATTATAGCTATTACCTCAAACCAGAGGTCAGCAAACTTTTTTCTGTGAAGGGCCAGATAGTAAATATTTTTAACTCTATGGCCATTTGGCCTCTGTCACAACTTCTCAACTCTGCTATGGCATGAAAGAAGCCATAAAGGACACATAAACTAATGAGCATGGTTGTGTTTTAATAAAACTATCATGTATATTATATGCATTATATAATATGAGGCCTTATACACATTATAAAAGCTCAATTTTGTATAATTACCCCATGTCTTGAAATATTAAATCTTCTTTTGATTTTTGTCAACTGTTTAAAAATGTAAAATCCATTCTTAGCCTGTGGACCATACAAAAAGAGGCAATGGGCCAGCATTAGCCCACAGACCACAGTTTGCTGACCCCTGGGTTAAACCAACAGCTCCCAGATGAATAGTCCATAGAGTTGAGGCAGCCCTCGCTTCCCAACTGCAAGAGAAGCCACGATTGGGCCAGAGAAGACAGTCTTTTCCTTTATTATGAGAACAAAGTTTATAGTGTTCATTGCCCAAATAGTTTCACATCATTACATAATAATTTCTTTTATCATTTAACCTGTATCATTTTTCAAAGTTATTATATATTTCAGTTCACTAAAGTTACATAAAACAGTGGAAATGAAAGAGGATAAAAAAAATCACCCAATTATTTTAAGTTTATATTCATTCTAGTCCAAACCCTTTTGCTTTCATCTGTCCTTGTTTTCAGCCTGAAATAAACAAATAGCAGATACATAATGTAATATTTTTTTCATGATATAATATTTTTTTCCTGATAGGAAAGAAATATAAACATAAAAAACTCTGCTTTCACTATTAGTTACTTGAAAAGTATATAAAATTTACCCTTTGAGGAAATATCAGCTCCTTTCATTCTATTTCTATTTTATTTATTCATTTATTTATTTATTTATTTATTTATTTTTGAGACAGAGTCTTATTCTATCACTGAGGCTAGAGTGCCATGGTGTCAGCTTAGCCCACAGCAACCTCAAACTCCTGGGCTCCAGCAATCCTTCTGCCTCAGCCTCCCAAGTAGCTGGCACTACAGGCATGTGCCACCACACCCGACTAATTTTTGCTATTTTTAGTAGAAATGGTGTCTCACTCTGGCTCAGGCTGGTCTTGAACTCCTGACCTCAAGCAATCCTCCGGCCTCAGCCTTCCAGAGTGCTAGGATTACAGGTATGAGCCACCACACCTGGCTCATTCTATTTCTTTATAAACTGTTTTCAGCTACTCCTATAACTACTCTCTAGACATGGGTCCAACTAAAGTGACCTTCTTAAGCAAAAGTGTGGTAAGTATCTGGAGAGAGTACTACACTTCATTTAGGGAATCTTTGCAAAATTTCATGAGAAAATAGAAAAATGCTAGGAACGTATACAGAGACAAAAAGTAACACACAAAGACACCAGAACACACATTCCTATAGAAATCAGACTCTTCAGTTGACAACTGTGTAGATATTATAGGCTCCAAAGGGGTATCCTGAGGGACCCAAGTACAGAATCTATAATATCCTCCTAAGAATAACATTTAGATTGCTACACAAACAAACTCTTAATCTAGGCATGGGTAAATCAAAAGCACCCTCTAAGCCATGGATTCCAAATCTGATTGACTGAAGAAAGCCTAAATCAATTTCTTGTTTTCTCATCTATAGCTTCAGAATGGCAGATGGCCAGACTTGACAATAACAGAACCATCATTAGGGAAATTTTGCCACCAGAAAAGGATCTGCTGGCGACCTCCTAGGTGAGAGTTTTGTTTCACTGACTTGGAATAAGGCACCACAAGTCATTTTTGTGGCTATTCCATTCCCAGAATATAACTATAAACCACACAGCAGCAGACATTGGCATACTGCGGAGCATCTTATTAACCCATTCGTGAACCACTCCCTGAGGGCCTAGGAAAGAATCCTGGGAGGTCAAAATGCTTCCCTATGAAGGACCAAATCTCGGTAACATTTGAACTTGTGTTCTGCAACAGGCACCTTCGTTCTTGCCACATGTATTTCTTAAGCTCAGGATGCCGGGTGCCAATTGAGCCCTGAAAGTAGAGTAATATGATAGCATCCCTGCATGCTGGGCTTACAGTCTAGTTGAAAAGCCAGAGTTTGCAGCATGAGATGATAATAGCTAGGATAGATGTTCGTAAAATATTCCCCATAGCTCAACAGGCTATAAACTAGGCATCAAGATTTTATAAGTCCCTATAAAAACTTCTACGTAGTCTAAAATTGTATTTATTCATGGCCAGGCATGGTGGTTCATGTGCTAGGGCCTGTAATCCTAGCACCCTGGGAGGCTGAGGCGGGAGGATCGTTTGAACTCAGGAGTTCGAGACCAGCCTGAGCAAGAGCAAGACCCTGTCTCTACTAAAAAAAATAGAAAGAAATTAGCTGGACAACTAAAAAATATATATGTATAGAAAAAATTAGCCAGGCATTAGTGGTGCGTGACTGTAGTCCCAGCTACTTGGGAAGCTGAGGCAGAAGGATTGCTTGAGCCCAGGAGTTTGAGGTTGCTATAAGCTAGGCTGTTGCCCTGGCACTTTAGCCCGGGCAACAGAGTGAGACTCTGTCTCAAAACAAAAAAAAAAAAACAAAAAAGATTTGGGATGTGAAACTTGGATTGCTGTTTCAGAATAACAACTTCTTTGGGGATGCATTATTAAAATTTCTGATACAAAATAAAGCTTATCATGTAACAGCAAACCACAAGTACATCTAACACGATACCTTAAGTGTAATTTGAATTCTAGTTAAAAGTTAACCCAATCCACCAGGGTTGCTAGGATCATTGGTGTCCCTTTGAAGTCAAAGAATGTGCAAGTAGATATAGCCCAGCCACTGCTACAAAGTTTAACTGTGCTGCTAATGAGGATCTAGATAATTGTCTAGATGTGTTGTGCTTTACCAAGAAATTCATTAGCTAAAGAAGCCTATAAAAAGAATAGGCTGAAAGTATTTAATACAGATTTTGTGGTACATAAAAGGACATTCTCTTCTTGATATTTGGTATTTAAAAACAGTATCTGTGGTTGATTGTATCAGGCCTCGCGGTGGGGAGGTGGAGGCCAGGTGAGATCAGATGGAAGACAAGCGAGAGGCCTGCCAAGGCGTGGCAGGTGATCTGGAGGGTAAGAAATAGCTGGTGGCACAGGCTGCAGGTATTCTTCCCAGGTGATGAGCTGGAGAACCCCAACACCTGTCAGAGTTCCAAGCAGGAAGTGGGTTATAGGAAGTAAAGACTTGCTCATGAGTAGCAAGGCAGGTTAGGAGAATGCAGTACCAGAAGGAACCATGAGTCAGGAATGAGTGAGCAACCTCCTAACCAAGGGGATGGGGAACTTGTGGCCTTAGGGCCATATGTGGTCTTCTGGATTCTTGAGTGCACCTTTTGACTGAATCCAAATTTTACAGAACAAATCTTTTAATAAAGGGATTTGTTCTGTGAAGTTTGCATTGGGTCGAGGGCTGCATTTGGGGGATCTGGAGGGCACACGTGGCCTTAAGGCTGCAGGTTCCCCACTAGCTGACTTTGAAAGTAAAGTTCAACTGGCTGATTTAGAAACTGCACTTGTATTTGCTTACTAACTGATCTCTTTCACCCACTAGGACAGTAGTTCTCAACCTTGGCTGTACATTAGAATCATGCCAGGAACTTTTTAAAAATATTAATACTAAATGCTGATATCCAGACTCTACTCCAGACCAATTAAACCACAATTTCTAGGGCTGCTAGGCTGATGATGATAAATAAGGCATTCTCAAAAAAAAAAAAAAAAAAAAAAGGAATCTCTAGGGCTGCACTGCAGGTCACAAGTATATTATTGGTTTGTTTGCTCCTTTGAAGTAATTGCAGTGTGAAAGCACACTGAGAACAGTTTATTAGACTGTGGGCTCCTTCAGAATAGGAACTTTGTCTTTTCTGTATTTATGCTGTGAGCCTAGCAAAGTACCATGTATACAGTAGTTAATCTATTAAGTGAAAAAATAATGAATGACTACCATGTTTTGGCCAGTAAGTATGATTCTGTTTTGTAGCCTCAGTGTGTGCACTTAACCCTAGGCACCTAATAATGCATCCCCTGGTTATAAAGGGCAAAGTAAGAAAGAATTGTCCAGTGGGGGGGCTTCAGTGTGGCCACCAGGGTGGCCCCAGGTCAGCCAGCAGTCCTCATCTGAAACACGGGGAA